CGTCGTTTCCTGTTACACGTACTTGATAAAGTCCCAACAGAGACTTCTGGTACCACTCTGCGCCGCGAAACTCGTCTAATAATTCTTGCGGATGACGTTTCTGCGCATGAATATCATCCGTCGTATTGCAGCGATAAGAAATTGTATCGCTTTCGTTGCCTCTAACGCTTAGCAGCTCGTTTGCCAAATGTTTGTCGGATTTGACGTTGGCACCACGCGTTTAATTTTAGTCGGTGTTTGTATGGCTTTCATATGCGAATACTCGCAAGTCGACACCGCTACATTTCATTATGCATTATAAATGTAAACATAATTGAGTCGTCGCGATTTTGCGAATGTTATATTTTTTTAAGCACAAGTCATATTATTTCATCAATTTTAATATTCTCTTCTAAATTTAAAATCTGTTCAGCGAACATTGTATATTCTATTTGACGTACATCAACTTTATTTTTTGATTTTCCTTAGATCTTTTATAAATTACATAAATTTGCATAGTAGATAAATTTTTAACAGAATAAATTTTCTTATAAGCAAATATTTTTAAAATAATTTTAGTAATTTTGACAATTAAAAGAAATATTTTTAATAGAGTAAATTTGCGATTAAAGTTTTCAAATAGGACAAACGTTGAAAGTCCAAAATAGTATATAGAAAATCTTTGAATCTTTGAAAATCAGTCAATTGCCGAACGCTCGTGTGCATCCTTCATTCAATTTACTAAATGCGCGGAGACCAAGATCGACGGGGATGAAAGCCAAGTCCGGCATCTCCCATGGGATGGACAGAAAGATCTCCAGCTTTCCTTCTCTCTCTCTCTCTCTCTCTCTCTCTCACACCCACACACGTCCTCGGTTTCTTGCAGTTGTTTAAACAACGGATTTCCCCAGACACTTCTGTATCTCGGCCAGATTGCCTGGAATTGCGAGGAGCGAGAAGCAAGGTCGCGAAAACACAAACCGAACGATTTCTAGTGTACTAGCGGAGATAGGCCCTCACGTTCCCGGGAGAGCACATCCACGGGCGGAAACTTTATTTATTTTCAGGCTTGTGAAATATACACGATATACGACTGAAGCTAGGCGCGCGAGGCCGTGCTTTAAATACTTACATACGGACACCGGCGCCGATATCGGCCGTGTGAGAGTACAGGGCCGTTTATTACATCGTAGTTACAGCACATGGAAACGTGATTTCTGAATCACCCGATGTAGCGTATACATATATGGTCATCTCGATAGATTTTCTCTCACTTGCGGGGTGTTTTACAATTAAACGGCGATATTTTGACTTCGATGACGATCTCCTCGATTTTGCACTGATAGAAAATATGACAACTTAATTATAATTATAATTATTTATGCTATAACTATACATTTAGTTATTTTAATCATGCAAACTTGTAATTATTTAGTTATTTTAATCATGCAATTATAACTGCTTTAACTGCATTATGTATAAAGTAAATGTACCAGTTAATGGACATGAATCATCAAATGCTGGACAAAGTAAAAACGTTTTAAAGCTTCTAGTAGTATGTACGATTCTAAATTAATTTATTATTAGACTTTTATAATAAATTTATTTAAAGTCGTACATATCACTAAAAGTTTAATATTTAAAATTTTGTATCACTTTGTCCAGCAAATTGGATCATGTGCACTAACTGGTACAATTATCAATTAGAACAAAAGTACGCGCTATTTTACTTGTATCATGTTTACGAAAATATTTAGCAATGTACCATTTAATAAAGTCAAGTTTCATCTTCAAGAATCTGCTTTTTTAATTGCGGCACGATGATTTTTAACAGAATTATGAACAATAAAAAATAACATGCTTCTTTTTTTTTAATCTACGTTAATTTAGTAACAAAAAGTCTTAGAAATATTTTTAAAAAATGTTTTTTATAGAAAACTAAACTTTCATGTTAGAAAGTAAAAATGTTTACAAGTTTTTTGCATGACGGATCCACAAAGTGAGAAGAAAATTTCTCATTTTGTCTAGTTCGTAGTTTCTCTATGTAAAAATGACCAAACTCATAGAAACTCAAAAGGTATAGTGACGTCTCGAAAATAGAGGTTTCAAAAGCTTTTATTTTTTAATTTAAATTTCGTTTCTCTTTAACGAAATTACAGCTACTTGAATTTTGAAGTCCATAGCATTATTTTTACTTTTGTTCCAACCTAATATTTTTCTTCAATATCTTTCTTTCGTTTGGATTTCATTTACGTCGTTGAAACGATAAGAAAGACATCACGGATTTTTGCCATAAAGCGGACCGGCTGAGTGAAGCGGCGCGTTATGTGCATGCTTGGATGTTCAATTACGACTCGGCGCGCGAAACAAAAACTACATATATTGAAAAAAACAAAAACTGCAATCGCGAATGGATCAGATGTTCAACATCCGTGATACAAAAATCAATAACACATCTTCGGAAGATTCAATTAATATGCCACATGGCTTATGGCAACAACTAGGCCGTACCAAGTTAAATGAGTCACTCATTCATGAACGAATACGTTATATACATATAAATATGTGCTTGTATGTCTGTACGTATAAATGGAAAAAAGTTTGATGGAAACGGCGTAAAGGGATACAGATAGAGAGCTCTTTATTTTTTCGTTGGATATGCAACTGTCGAGAAGAACGGCCGGCGGAGATCGAAAATAAAAGCCGCAAGTCGTGGTGAACGTGGTTAATATTGATTGGAGCTAGATTCACACGCGAACCTTCACTTGAACCGGAACACCGCTACTGTTTTAACTATCTAGTGCTCGCGCTTTGTTTTCGGAATTGGTTTAAAAGTCACCGCAGAGAGTTCCCGTTTTATCTGAAAATAAGTAAAAAAAAATATAACTGTAGGTATAGAATTGTGGATGCATATGTATCTTCAGTCTATCTGATAAATTGAAGCAAATAATGTTATTAATGCGAATATATTAGGTGCCCTTCTGTTTAGTTCGACATCACAAGTAGGTTTTGTTCTGCTTTTGTTATTCACGAAATGTGATGAACGACATTTGTGTCGACTTGTATTATCGACACCTATTAAAAGCAATTTTCAAAATAGGCTTGATGAGCTTCGGAAGAATATTTTTGAATGGAACATGTAATTGCAGGAATAAAATATGTGCTAGTTTCATGAACAGGTAAAAGATACAAGTAAATTGCAGACAACAATGGGCAGAGAATTACGTCTTATAAGTTAACAAAGTGATCAGAATCGATTTTAAATAACATTTTTATTTGTTGCTCATTTGTTGCGTCTCTGTGAAGTTAGCACCTCAACTTTAAAAATCGAAAATTTTAATAACAGTACTGCTTGCACCCGCAATAGTTCTAGAGTTCCTGATAGGTTTCATCAATAGTACTGTTGATTTAGGCCAACAATTTTTAAAAATAAAAATATGCGATGCTAACTTCGCGTGGCACCGCAAGATTTGAAAAAGCCGATTTTTATGACGGAATCTCACAGTACTCGAAGAGTATTACAGTTCCTGATTGATTATAACAATAGTACCGGCCATTAAATATTTTTAAATAAATTTAAAAAAAAAAGAAAGTTAGCACCGCATATTTTTATTTTTTAAAATTTTTGGCCTAAATCAACAGTACTATTGATGAAACCTATCAGGAACTCTAGAACTATTGCGGGTGCAAGCAGTACTGTTATTAAAATTTCCGATTTTTAAAGTTGAGGTGCTAATTTCACAGAGACATTTGTTGCTAACAAGTTGCCAAAGAAACAAATTTGTTGCTCTAATAGATTTTTTTTAAAATAGTATTCCGCTAAAAGAAGATTAGGTTAGCGGAACAATATACACAGAATAAAACCGATTGACGTAAAAATAACGTAGGAATTTGTTGCTTGCAAAATAGGAACAAATAACAACAAAAAAACCTCAACGTACTAGCGGAACAAGAGCAAAGTATTAGTAATTTCTCAGTATTTTTATGATAAAGAGAGTTTTTGATCTCGCAGGTTGCGATCACAGGTGCGGCGCCATTATTTGCATTCTGCAACTTCATTCAGCATGAATTTTTTCGGTTAGTCATTCACATTATGTGTGTATACACAACTAGATGTGATTGTTCACGCGACGCTCGCTTGTTGAAAGACACGTATAGTTCAGAAATTGTTATTGCAACTCCCTACAATGACAACATAGATATTATTCAGGATAGTCCGCCGCAACTGCTGATTTTGTTGACAATGCAATCTTCATCATATGCGTAATAAAGGACGCATTATTATCGCGTTACATGAGTTCACGTCATATTCGTCGTTGCATTATGTATCTAGCAGATTCGTATAATGTTTGCATTATCGCCATGTATTTTTCAATTCTTGATTGACTTGTTATCTTGTTACGTTATTTTGTTACGTTTTGAAGTAGGAACCCGATTGTAATATTTGCTTAAATTGTTAAAATACTTCGAGAAATGATTGAAAAAAAAGAATGTGTTACTTTTTCTTCAATAAAAACTTTGCTAAATAAAAAAAGTTACCATCGGAACATTTTTTTATTATATTTTTTGTTATACTTTTAATATTGCTATAATTAAATTAATTTACGATGAAAGTAAAGGATAATTAATTTGTTCTGCGATTCTTGCTGATAGTATTTTAATATTTTATTAGGTATAAAAATTATAAGGGAAAGATAGGATGAAAAATAAATGAGTACAGTATAATAAATAAAAACAAGAGAGAGGATACAATGATTTATTATTATAATAAATATTGCAAAATTTTGCCATTTTTATTATTTAAAGAGTTCATTTCATTGAAGTAATGTAAGTTATATTAATCTTCAAAAAATAGGTAGATCGATTGAAATCAGAATTGGCAATGTTCCTCGGTGTCTGTATATGGACCATCGTCTTCGTTTTATTATCTGAAAACTCGGCTGGTAAGCACTCTTCTGGATACATCGTGGCGTCGCTATCTAAACAGCGTCTTAAATTTTCCATGACCATGATAGCTCGTCTTCTAATATACGGGGCTACTTGAATGTTGGACCTTGAGAATTGATTTCATCTTCTCCTGTTCATCTGTAATTTTGTTATGTGATTAAGTAAATTTAATATTACTTTTAAATCTCGCTTTGAATATTATGATGTATTATTATTTTTAAGCTCCAAACATTCGTGACAAAATTTGTCAAATTGAAACGTTTCTAACATGATGTTGAAATATAAACAATAGGTATTCTAAATAAAAAATACTCGATGTACACACAAAAAAGTATTAGAGAGACTGAAGTATTCATGGTCTGATCTTATTTCAAGAGTGTTAATTACACATTATAATTAATTATATTATAAAGTTGTTCAAATTGAATAGAATAAATTGATGTAATTATTATTTCACTAATATCTATAATAATTATATTGTTATAGTCTACTCAGAAGATAAATGAAATTATTTATTAGTTGAATATTTGTCGATAAAAAATGAGAATCATTTTTTAATCTCCACTTTCAACCTTTCTTTTTTTTCTCACGTCATCGACGATTAGATTTACAGAAAGAGTAACTCTTTTTATCACTATAAATATCAATTGCTGTCTAAAAACTTTTATTAGCACCTGTGTTACAAGAATTTAAAACAGAAAAGAGTGCACAAGTATCTTGTAAGATAGAAGACTTGAAGAATTAAGATGCTAATACGGCTTCAGTTTACGATATCTTAATGCTGTACGTAAAATTGTCTTAAATACGAGAACGGACAATGGATACTGATCCTGTAGTGTATAATCCACACTGACAAAAATATGTGCATAGTGCTCTAAAATCAACTAAAAAACGCGATAAAAAACTGATACTCTCATATGTTGGATTGAAGATACGTTTATGTGTCGTATAACGGTGCGTATTTCATGCATGGGTTAAAATGAAGCAATAACGTATAAAGTAATGCAGTAACTCTTTTCGGCATCGATTTGTCTGCCAGAAAAACGTTGCACAATATCCTTTGGTTCTGCGAATGACGACCTAACTTCCGGCTGTTGTTGCAGATTCTTGGCACTGAATGAATTATAGACATAGCTGCTTTGGGAAAACGCCGTCTTATGCTTCTCCTTTTTCATGTTTTGTTTATTCCTGCATAAACGTAGAGCACATACATTTATAACTGCAACCATGAAGCAATAACTCATCGCGATAAAATAAATTGGAAAATATGCCCAGCGGAAAATAAACGCGCCGCACAATACGTTGTCGAAGTGAAGTTTTACGTTTCACGATTATAAAGAAGCGGAAATGTAATATGTCGAAATATAATTTTGATAACAATGACCGTCTCGGTTCTTTTAAAATATCAGTACGACGATTTTATCAGATTTACTATATAAATCGTACTCACTATTTTTGTCATACGCATATCTACAGGGTGTTGAAAAAAAACATTTATATAGTAGATAGTACAATGAGAAGCAAAAATAAGTTTTCTTTCTGGTATAGCTAGGTGTGTAGATCGAAGTATTATATATCGTTTAAAAATAAGACAGATGTGTTTATGCCGGACGAGATTAATGGGTCAGTTCTAGCAGAATTTTCTAGCAGTCTTACGATTCTGCTTAGAATCGTAAGACTTCATTTGTTCTCGTAAAACTTCTGAGAACTTATGACTAGTATTCAATTTTATGCGTAAGATGTACGATTGTTAGTAAATATCTATGATTTTTTGCTAATCTTATGGTTAATAAGAAGCTGTATAAGCACTTAAAAGTTCTTATAAATCTTACGAGAATATGTTATATACGCCTTACAATTCTGCTTAGAATTTAGGCATAATTTCGACTATTCTTATGTTAAATTCTTGATATATAGAGTTCATGTATAATTCTTGTCCACGTTGGGTGATTGTCTTAAGTGCATATAGAATTGCGCATCTCATATGTGCAATCAGTCCTCGGAGCCGCCGCGTATTCATAAGTGAGGATCCTTGATACGCTTATATTACGCAGCACGTGAACAACGGAGTCAATAGGTCAAAGGTGCATGGGAGACGCGATCAACGGGAGATTGGTTGTAATGAGAGAGACGGAGAAAAAGAAAGAGAGAGAGAAAGAGAGAAGAAGGGATACCGCGTGTGCGTTCCTAAAAAAAAAAAGAGGGAAAAACGGATAAATCGATTGACTAAATTAGTGCTGGACTGGAAGCGAGGCGCGTTAAATAGACGTGTAACACTCGAGTTTAACAGCAAGAAGAGATTTACTCACTCACTCGCTCGCTCATACACACACCCACGCACACACTTGCGCTCGCGCGTGCCAAATTTGCGAATCTCGCACGGTTCTCTGCTACCGACAATCAATCGCTCTCTCGATTTAACGATTTAGATTAACGACTCCCGATACGACGAGACATCGTTGTTCTATTAAGAAAGAAAGTTGTCTTGTTCATTCAACGGCTTGGCGCGCAGCCAAGCATGACAAGATTCGTCGCCTTTGTCGAACTGCTTGCACCCGGAATCGACAATGCATCTACCCTCTGTTCTGACGGCGATCGTGTTGCCCTTTCGAGCATAATGAGGTTTGCAAACGTAGCCTGCGAGCAATCCAGAAACTCCGAGTGGTTATCTCGCGCGACGGTATTGACTGGAAGAGGTAATCGAAATGTTGGAGGAATTGTCACCACCCGGCTCTCTCGCAATTCTCGTAAAATGAAAACGGATAAAATACTGGATGTTTTTGCTAGGAGTGAAAATCCTATTGAGTGCCATTTGACTGTGACATATTAATTATTAGGATTTTAATTCCCATTTTCAAGATTTTCAAGAGAAATCATACAATCTGAGATACGCTGCACGAAGATCTGCGACATAAACACGAAAAAGCAGTTGGAAATTAATATAAATTTGGAGCGCTTGAAAATTATGTCAGGAGCACAGTGGAAATCGCGAGTTTTCTCTCGGGAACATAACAATCCTTTTGCCTGTCTTAATAAATCGCGACGTACGTACGAGCGAACACACAAGGCCGAACGTGAAAGTTTGCGTAAAATCACCAATAAAGTCAAGTATTATATACGAAAATATATACGATGAAAATTTATAGGTCTCCGACAGATTGTGCACCTACGACGTTTCGGTCGCTTCGTTCCCTGCAGATTTATTAAAATTATTGTCTTGACAGGGTTGCCATAGACTGGGAAAACTGAAAAAATCAGAGAAATTAAAGTTGGTTATGAAAAACCGAGAAAAAAATCAGGGAAAAACATAAAAAAGTCAGAAATTCTGAAATTTGTTCACAATTCCCTTAATTGCTCCTATTCCAAATAATTATTGTTATATAATTTTTTAAATATCACATCTGACATTTATAGTCAAGTACGTTCAAAATTTGAGCACTTTGAATTAGTTTTAATAAAATAATTAAAACTTATGTATTTTTATTTGATCGCCTTTTCTTGTCATAACTGCTTTCTTTTTTCAATACTATTTAATTTTTTATTCACTTGAATTTGCACTCAAAATTTTATTATGCTACTAACTCTTTTGCGTTGTTCTTATTAATATTGACTTGCTTTCCTATCCTTGATTCTAAATGTCAGAGTTTACGTATTATATTTTGTATGGATCATGGAAAATTTCTCATTTTCATCTGAAAAATCTAGAGAAGTCGGGGAATTTAAAAATTCGTTTTCTGTGGCAACCCTGCTTGAGCACGTCACACTTATCTGCGTAGAAATAGGAAAAGTAACAAAACGAAATGTTAAGCGGTGCTGCATGAAGGAGCAGATTGCTCGAAATTTTAATAAATGTAAAAAAAAGAAACGGAACATTTTATCTTTCGTACGATAATCGCAAGTCTCACCTGTGTGCGCTTTCCATGATCGAGCACTCCGATTCTTTCGAGAAATTGCACATTCGACCATCCAAGTGGATAATGTACGGGTGTGAGCTTACGGCCGCCTCGAATGACTCTCCAGCTGGAACAAATTTTATAGCCGTTTTTTTTCACAAGAATACAAATCTTTCAAGGATTGTAAGCATTAAGATAATTGCGCAACGATTCTCCAACGATAAAAATAATCGATGTTCCTTAACAATTTTTGAACTCTTTGCATACACTGTTATTATTATTGTATATTAACTTTTTTTACGCAATTATCTTGATCCTTCCACGTGTAACTTTACAAATTTTTCAAAAATCTTTCTCTTAAATGTTTCTATTTTTTTTTAATTAAGAAAGAAAACTAACATATTTTATAGATTTTATAGAAAGATAATTCTATGTTATTAATACCGGTAAATCCAAAATTATTGTTTGATACATCGAGAGATAAGGCTTCGAGTTCCACGCAACCGGAAGCGAGTACATCGGCCAATGCTATACCGTCTTCCGGACCTAATTCACAGCCACTGATATTCAATGTTTCCAATGTTTTATTTCTTATCAGGACTGAAAATGGTAAATTAATATAAGGCATAATAGAGATTTCTTATAAATGAGCGATATTTTTGCAAAAAATTTATTATAAGTAATATAAAAATATACATATATGTGTATAAATAGATTATGAAAATAAAACTATCGTCGAAGTAATTACTATTTATAAATATTAAATTCTATCTTGCGTAATATATATAAGCATTAAAGTAACACAACAATACATTCTGTATTCTGTCATTTCTGATTTTTTTATTAACACATTTTTTCAGATAATCTGAGCATTAAGCAAAATTTTACATCTAAAGAAACGATTAGGGTTGAAAATTAGCAATATATTTTCTGGAAATTTTTATTCAAATGTAAAAAATGTAAATGTAAAAAAAAATAATTGGGTTATTACTTTATAATGAGTATGTACGTAGATATATCCGAGGACATATCCTCGAGAAATTGCGGCAGTGATTTTGTATCTGTAATAAGTGTTATTGTCTTATCATGCATTTTTATATGGGAATTTTAGTCACGTTTTACGTGTTGTAACATCCGATTTGTATGCACGCGCATGCTACGATCTACTATTCAGCTTGCATTTATTTAAATAATTTAGCCTGCTGCTTATGCCACACTTTCGACCTGCGGAGTCGATTATACTCTCCTTCTCTTACTATGCTAATATTTGAGATTATATGGAATTTTGTACATTCAGTTTTTGAAAGTTGGTAATAAGCAGTGCGATTTCGTACAGCGAGGTCAAGCATGATAGTTTTTATTCAATCCATTAAGACAATTAAACATGATGTTTTAAAATAAAATTCAAGATAAGACATTTTTTAATCTGAGTATTTTTACTTTAGATTCATATTTTCATATCTTTGAGTGTTTTCGGACAATAAAACATCATTAATATTTCAAATGAATTTGGCAGAAATATTTAGAGAAGTTAATTTTATTATTTTCTTTGAAAAAGAGAGGGAGGATTTTCTTTCACTGGCACTCATTACCGTTATAAAAATTATATTCGGAAATACAGAAAATGTAAGTATCACAAGATCTTATTCCAATTTTGTTATTGATGTATATATATATATATATATGTATGTATATATATGTATATATATTGATAAATTTATTAGCTTTTTGAAAGAGACAATGTGATGCTAGAAATACGAAATCCGTGATATTCCATTATTCGACGAAAATGCAACGCATCCGTATTACTAGCACCAGGAATAAAATAGCACCGTACGCAACATTAAATTTCAATTTATCTCGACGAGTTTTATATTACTCGGGCACTGAATTCTGTAGAAAACACCATTGGGTAATCTCCAGAGTACCGCTGCATTTTTCCAAACAAATAAAGAATTATTTATCTTGATGGCTCATTCCAGGTTAAAGAAAGAGACAAAGAAAAAGAAAGAGGAGAGAGAGAGAGAATTGTTCGTGAAATCGTTTCTTCTATAATCGCATCTATTTACATTCATTGCTATTATACTTGGAAAATTATTTAAAAATTAATGGAAATTGTTCATTACCGATTATATGATATATATATAACTGTAAATGTATTGAAAGTTTATTAATAATTTATTGTTGAAATCCGCTATAAAAGCATGAATATTAGTTTATTCTTATGTGGCTTTGAAAGCTTTTAAACTACTGACTTTATTATTACACGTAGAAATATTTATCGATTTTATTAGAAAAAGATTTGAAAAAATTATGAAACTTACTGATTGTGAGATAAAAGATATCTGACAATGTATTTTAATGTATATTTGAATTTACTACTAAATTTTAATATTAAAGTCTCGAAGCTATATACACAATTTTAAAAGTTCTAACTGAAACTTAAAAAAAAAACAATTTTTTATTTCCTGTCTTATTTTTAAACTTTTCTATCAAAAATAAATAAATAGGTCTTAGTGTGTGGAAAAAAATGGTTTACATATAAATCTTATTAGTTTATCAGAAAATCATATTAAATAAATAAAATATGAAATAAAAATGCAACTTAAATTAATATCTGGATAGAATTGGGGAATGCGAGTTTTCTTTGCTATTTGATGTTGTGAACGAGAAGTGATGTTATAATATATTAAACTCACGAGCGCATATATGATTAGCTCCTTCATTTTGTAAAGGATTCAGTCGGAGGTCCAAATGTTTTAAAGCTGTCGAGCTAGCTTTTATTAATCCATGAACGATACCGGCAACTCCATTCGGTCCTATATTGTTATTTGTCAAATATAGACTACTCAGTTTCCGGTGCATCGACAGAAATTCACCCACTGCGTGTGCACCGTTATCCATCAACTTGCAATGCGACAGATCCAATTCCTCGATCTGCATTCGAGATAATTGAGATAATATTGTGTGCAGCGATGAAATTCTTTGTCAACACTTTGTCTGTCTGTCGAGTGAATTTTGTATGTTTTATCACGTGTACGTCATATTAAAATTTTTATTACTGTGAAATGAAAAAATATTACGTAAAACATGATTATTACATACTTCATTTGCATAAGTACTGTGATTGAATAACGTACTTTTTTTACTTTATATTATTATTTAGTTAATTATATCATGTATAAATGTATATTATATTGCAGATTGTGTTCATTTTTTACAAGCGTTAAAAAAAACTTTTGATGCTCTTGATCACGGATGACCACCATTGTAACGTATTAAAAAGTCACCACGAGATGCACCACAAATACACTATTTGCAATTTGCATATAGTATAACGCTCTAGACACGCCAAGCTGTTTTTATATATAGAACGTAGAAATAATATTCAACAGATACTACTATATTTACTCGTTTTACTGTTAGAAAGCATTAAAGCGCATAGTGCTTGCGGTCACGACGTTAGCGTAGCTTTTAGCAAAGCTGTACTTTTAGTTGCACTTTTTTTGAGTTCTTAACTGAAAATAATATGATCTGTGCTTTTAGTCCTATAATGAGAATAAACTGACTAACGTTATCGTTCGACACCATCCCTTGGAGAATAGCAGCGACTCGGGGCTGGTCCAAGTTGCTCCGGGTTAAACTAAATTTCTTCAGTTTCGGGCTGGCTTTAATTCCTTCCCCCAGACTTAAGCAATCCTCCAACGAAAACCTGTACGAATGATGAATGTTTTATCAATCATTTAACGCTGAAATTCTCTTCACATTTATGCTCACTGAACTTCCGACTCACTCAAAGTCTCGCCACTCGAAACCGTCATTCATGTAGATCATACCGAAATTAAGATAAATCTCTGTGAGATGCGGGAACTGTGGAAGTATAACAGCCATGGGAATATGATGCACGACGTCTTCCTCTAGGATTAATTCATCATTCTCTGTATCAGCTCGTTTCTGCTTTCTGGAAGCCGCATTCAAATATATATGAAAAACACAATTTTGTCAGTAATTGATTTTTCATTCAATATCATTAATTAATTAAAAGTTGAAAGCGTCAGTATCTTTCAGAAATTAATTACGCGTTTATGTGTGCAGATAAAACTATGCTTTAATAAGTAGAGCTTGTTAATAACATATTTAATTATAAACTTATTTAATAAAGTATAAAAAATGTAGAGATTTATAAAATTGGAATTTTTTATTTTTATTTTAATTGCATTCACTTCGAACGAATATTACGAAATGCTACGAATATAACGATAAAGAGTTTCATTTTGTGAATTTTCCATTTAAAAAATTCCATCTTTATACATACATTTTTTTATCTTTTTCATATATATTGCAATTTTTCATGTTATATCCGTATTATCAATTAATTTGCGACGAGATACGAACGAAAAATTAATTTTTTAATGTGAAAAAAATATTTTATCCTCGGTAACGTATTGTAGAAATCCACGTGTAGTAAAAAATTAGGTGGGATTGTTACTTAACGGCTTATCCGCGGAACAGTTAATGTATTTGAGTGAGTTGCGGCTCTGATCAATATTAGACGATGGATTACGTTGCATAAACTACATCGCGTATGTAGAGGCCTAGTTGCATGCTGGTCGCTGTGAATAATTGAAGAACGCGTATACGCGCCGGATCACATTAACGGCCAGATATATGTTAGATATGTTGGATGTGCTAGATTGATACACGAAATGGAATTTCGAATAATAAATTTGCACGTGCGTTGAATGACGATGCTGACAGTTTACGTGTATTAATTAGCCGTATAATTTCATTTGCCACAGATAATTTGCGTTTAATATAGAAAGTACCCAGATAACATGCATGTTGCATATGATAACTAAAAGACGTCTTTTAGATATCTTATATGTAACATAAATGTTATCTGGATATAATTTCATTCCCAAGTTATTTAGCAGCTAAAAAATATTTTTCAAAAATATTATGTTTATTCCATAATGAACAAGCAATCTATAAAAACGTTTCGGTATTTTAAAAATTTGAATAAATATTTATTTCTAAAAAATATATTATATATGTAAAAAATTTATATTTAAATCTTACTATTACTGATTATATATTTTAAAAAATATTAACATTTATATATTTTTGTTATAAATTATTAAGATACTCAGATTGAAAAAAGAAAATGTTTACATGTCAAACATTTTTTATAATAAAGATTATTATAATTTAACAAATTAAATATTATTAATATTAATTATTTAATAAATAATGTGATATTAAAAGAAAAAGATAAGTCTGAGACAGATCGCGATAAAAGAGATCTATCATTCGTATAATCCGAATAAAAGTGAAAATAAATCTTGCAGCGGATTTACGGATTGCTCGAAAAGGGAACAGCCCGAGTGTGATCCGAGAGAATTACCCTTTCCAAGCTTTCTCTTTCTCGTGGCTTCTAATTAAATGAGACTGTGATTTCTAAACTAGAACCCGTAGCGGTTACCATCGCAGAATGATAACGCTTCCTCGATTCAACTCAGCGCTTTTGAAATTATCAATGATCAGCAAGAGTAACATTCACAAAGCGAACTCTAAGGACGCTTTTATGCAAATGCCTGGCATCTTATCGTGCATTATTTTTTCAGACGTCTGTCTCGTCTCCGTCCTTTATATAGATACTAGTTTCCTTGCTGTGAGATACTAGCATGCGGATGAATTCATCTCACAATCGGGCGTTCATCTTTAAAACGTGTGAATTAAAGTACCATTATTAATTATTAAATACTTTTCGTTGTACCCGGTTTTTCCAATGCTTCTTCTATTCATACTTATATAACTTTTTTATTTATAAAGATACATACATTTGTTTGGCTCCATTGGATTTCTTAATGTCTGGCATTTTAATTCAAAACAATATTATTTATATTTATTTTTATGAAAGCAATTGAATTGGATTGTATATGCTATACACAGTGTATTGTTTCCATGTGAGAGGCGTTTAAAGGAGCCTATATAGTCGTCTGTTTTATCGACTCAATAGAACTTACATCACACATGACTTACGTGTTATTAATACATCACTATATACTACATCAATATCGTACATACATATAAATTTTCGTAATGCATTTCAATATTAAATTAGATGGTTATATGACATGCCACACACGTTCAAGCAAATTTGGCAAATATGCTTACGTAAACTGCTTGTGCAAATGCAAATTTATTTAAATGTGTGTATCAGAAAACTGCACAGTTACTTTGGCTTGCACAAATGACTGTCCATGTTTCCGTTTATAATAAGTTTAGTCAGAAAATAAAAATTTTATGTTTTGTGAACTTTTTATAAAGTTCATAGAATCGTGCCATACAATAACGCTTTTTCCGCATTAATGATATTGCAAAATTCACGTGTGGAAGTTAATTAATTCCTTTTTTCTTTTCACGAGAACAATACAGGCGAGACCATTCTGCTCATTCTGCCTGGGATTAGTTTTGCAAACGTGATCACACAACTCTTTTTACCGCTCTCACGTTTACTTGTTCCAATTTCATTACAACAGCAGTAAGGGACCATCTCCTGCCGACTGTACGGCCATAACTATGTAAATTTGCTTCTTTACTTTTTAAACAGTACCTCCATTCTCAACAACATTTTATAATGCGGCCTTAAAAGAGTTGAAAATGGAATGAAACTGGAACGACATTATGAACAATTTTTCTCACAACGTATGTCTATAAAAAATATATCGGTATTTTCTGAAATTGCTCCGAAAATTGTGCCTACGTATTCACACGCGAAATTAAATAACTCAGAGAAAGCTTTAGAGCTTTTGAAAATTTATTGTTATTACGTACGGTATCATTTAGAAATATTTATGCATATAGGTATATTCTCATATTAATTTTTAATTCAAAAGATTTTTTTTTAAATAATTATAAAAATATTAATATTTTTAACAATAATAAATGAAAAACTGATTGATATAATAATATAAATGAGCAAAGAAATAAATTGAAGGATTTATTCGATCAAAAAAAGATCGGTGTCTAATAACATTTATTTATATAAATTGTTTGTACAATTCAATAAGATTCTTATTGTTGAGTTACTTTTTACTTCATGAAGTTACATTTCGAAAGTAGTGGACATAACCATAGTCTAGAATTGTCACACATAGCTTGTGTGGCCGCGACTGGTTATACACACACAATTTTACCAAAATTTATATCGTTCTAAAATTCATCGCTCAATTACTTCGGTAATTCGATAGCGTGCATGTCTTCTAACTCATGTATAATTAGATTCCTTAATGCATTAACAAGTTTATATTCGCTCGACGAGTATTTGCTATGTGCCCGCCTCTGCTGTCGTGATTTCAACTTGGCGCAGCTGAATTTGCACAAGTGTTCTCTTCAATGATCGATTATATGAAGAACGTACATATATAAATTTGATGTAAAGGTGTGAATGAAAGTAATATCAACTATTGGGCGAAGCCCAAACCATTGGCAAAGTCATCAGAAGAGGAACGAGGTTATTTTTCCACACAATTTGATGTGTGTAAAGACATGCTGTTAAATATGTAAGGTTAAATGTGAAATTTAAACCAATTTCATAAGTTAAATAACATTTTGTTATTTTTAACTTCCAAGTGTATCGAAATGTATTATTTTAATAGAAAGCACTTAGTATAAATAATGAAATAAATTTTTGAATTGAATTTAGCACATTTCTTGAATTAAATTATTTAACTCTGTTTTAGTTAAATTATTAATACTTATCGAGTAGGATTAATGGCGACCTCTGAGAATAATAAGAATGAAAGAGACAGAAAAAAATGACTCAAATTAAGTATAATTTGACATTATGAATTTAATAGTGTATAGACTCATATTTCGGTGTATGAATAGAATCAAATGAAGACTACAGAAGGCATAAAATAATTGCACGCATATATTATAATATTGCGATAAAGAAAATTTTGAAGAAATATACTGAAGCTCGGTATTCACGATCTTCCGACGACCAATTATAATTGGCCTCCTAGATACTCTGGCCAATTATAGAACCCGCCGCCACGCTTTCGTGCGATATTTACGCCTCGAGTCCATCGCTCCTTGGATCTTCAAGTGCAAGCACTTACGGTTTTAGCCGACAAACTGACCGGCTCTAATAATAATTTTCCAATGTGTTCTCGGCCGGGCGTAAATACTGTGGATTTCTGTACGAAGTGCGCGAAGCGGTGCAAGGTCTGTTCAAATGCTAGCGCTACGCAACACATCTCCTATATTTGTATACCTGCTATACATGAACCCCCATGAATAAATCCATTTTTTATATTTTCCGTAAGATTTTGTAAATTTTCATACGGTATCTTATCAACGAAATCTGATTCTGTCTAATTTTAACGTAAAGTTATGTTCATTGAACAGTTAAAATTATAAGGTACTTTTATCCAATATAGCCTATATCTCTAAAGCGTTGCGATTTTTGCTGAGTCCAACATTAAAAACTGGTGGTCAGATTCAAAATGGAAAATTTAAAGGATTTCCGAAAATTAATTGAGAACATAAGACATTTTCAGTATTCACATGGGTGTAGTGAAGATTTAACTACGTAATGTGTGTAACTACCATATACCTACAGATTGTAAGTAGGTCATATTACGTGGGTCGGCCGAAAAGTAATGCACACAGTCGCGCGTAACTCGTAAAACGAGGTCTATAATAGAAGTCGTAACGGTCATAGAATCCTAAGTCGTAGAAAATTGACCAAATCGTGGTTGATTATTCTTCTCATAATCGACTGTGATTGATTAATTTTTTGCAAGACTGTACGATCGCCACGACTTTTATTGTAGATCCCGCATAACACAAAAAAGTGCATTTTATTGATTACAAGAACATACCATTACTTTTCAACGTAGTCATCATTCACAGCTATATATTTCTCCCAACTGTGAACCAATATTCTCATCCGGTCAATGAAGAATTCCGACGGTCTTTCCCTGATTTACAACTTCACTGTGTCCTTTACTTCATCATCCGTGGTAAAATAAATGCCTGTAAAGTCTCTCTTTAAATTTGGAAAGAAGTAAAAATCGCAGGATGCCAATCGTCAGCCTCATGCATGAAATTTTATTGCATACTTATTCACAATACTTCGATCAACAGTTTTATCACTATACGGTTTATAAATGATGAATATCACAGGATTCATTTTTTGGATGATATAGTGAAAGATACAATGAAGTTGTGGATCAAGGAAAAACCGCAGGAAAAATATATAACTGTAAACGATGACTACGTTGAAAAGTAATGATACAATTCTTGTAATCAATAAAATGCACTTTCATGCCTTTTTTGTTTTATTCGAATATCTCTGTTCGTTTACGAGTTACGCGCTACTGTGTATTACTTTTCGGCCGATCCACATAGATGTAATCCTGTTTCGAAACGTTATATTAAAAACTCAGAATAAATTCGTAATTCTCTAATTCTTTAAAGCCATTTTTTTTTTTTAATTTTGTATGAGAACATTTTATTCTACTTTTATTTATCTTTGTTATTTTAGGAGCCATTCTTTTACTGTTTAAACACAATTTGATTCACTTTATATGATAACACCCGTTTATCGCGCACGTAATAAATCTATATTAAGTTTGTAAAAAAAAAAAAACAAAAAGACTTCCCCCCGGCTACAAGTTCTATTTATCTTAATTAATTTATGTTATTCACAAAAAACTAATTGAGGATTCAGTATACGCCTTACTTTGTTGACACAAGAGAACGAAGCCTTATGACATGTATATAGTTCCTTACGAGAGCCATCAATTTCTCACATTCTTCTCTTTGAGGCTCGAAGTAGCTCGCCTGCAAAGTTTCGAGATACTCGGCTAAGTGGCGTTCACAATATAATCGCCGCCATGAGTTACCATGCTCACTTGGATCGTTGTATTCCCACCTGCGACAATAAGAGGAAGTTGAATTGTGCTTGCGTATGTGCTTACACAAATGTGTTTAATATCAATTGATCATATGTTTCAAAAGCATTCGTAGTCTGTTTACATGAAATCGTCGATATTTCAACGGATAAATATATCCTTTAGACAGAGAGTAATATTTTTGCAAGATAAATTGGAAGTTAAAGTAAAATTTAAAAATTAATTAAACATAATTAAAATTTAAAGTATATCAAAATCAATTAATTAAGATAAGAGATTAGACTAACAAAGGAAGGGGCCCAAGAATGTCTTTTCGATTTTATGTTGTTTTGTAGATGAAAAGAAAGGACATATATTTTTTTATACATACGCTATCATACTTTTAATTCTTCATTACCGTCGTATGAGACGAACGCTCAGTTTAAATTAGATTATCTAATTACATAGATGTGACAGAAAAATTGATTCTGAAACTTTCTGACTTTTTACTTACAATCTTCTAGATTATATTTGCATAGTTATTTTTTCAAATCTTTTCGATAGAAATAATTTTTATTAAAAATTTTGAAAGTGTTAACGCGCGTTACATCTCAGCATTACATGGCATTCATGAGAAGTGTAATCGAGAGTATAAATACGTATAGTTGAAAGATAGGATTCGTGCAGCATTTGCTAAAATGCTAAAACCTAAGGTTTTCTGTAACACAGATCGATAAATTAATATCTCATAATTTTCTTCTTATTAAACTGTCTTGATGCTAGACTAAGTAATTTTTTATATCAATTTGACTGTAAATAATTATTTATTATATGAAGTAACGGTAGAAGTCAAATGTAGGTAATATAACTTACATTTCGATATAATTTATATTACAATTTTGAATATGTTACGCTTTGAAACAGTGACTATAAATAGAATGAAATTATAGAAAGTTTTTAACAATTTTATTTTGATATAATAAAGTCAATTTTTAAACAAATAATAGGTATAAAACAGCAATATAAAACACTAAAAAGTATCGTAGTAATATTAAATTTGTTATGTAATAAAGATTTATTTGAGATAAATTTCTGAAAATGTTGAACGCTCGATTGTCATGAATTTTTCGGCAGAAATACTCTAAATGGATAAAACTCCCTATCAGGAGAGGCTTCTTCGATGACCTTGACCTATATCGTTGAGGTCATGATACTGACAATGAGTGACTTCCTGATTTTAGCCTTTACTCGTTACTCGTTAAGAAGTTATTAAGAAAACAAATTTTTTTAATGAAATGTAATTTCTGTAATTTTTTTCGTAATGATTCTTTATGTAAAACGACGTTTAGCACATCTTCTTCTGCTTAGAAGCACATGACTTTCCCCACGCGAAGTGAAGATTTTCTTTCTAAAGGGTGTTTCGCCTCTTAAAAGTGCAACAAGGCGTATAAAAAATACATGTCTTTTATTTTCATCTACAAAACAACATATTAAAAGCTTATCAAAATTGGAAGGAAAAACTTGAAAGATTTCTTCTCTTGTAAAATCAGAAATTACAGTCAATTAATGTCAAATAGAATTATTTAGCAACGATTAAAGCGTAATTGTTTCAATGTAAATGATAGTATTCGATAGTACGCTGTAACGTAATAATATTTCATGTAATCGAGAATCGATAACTGGCTCGTCTTGCCTGTCCTTGGCCGCGCGTTCCCAATAAAACTCATCCTCGATTCTCGGTATCGTCAACTCGAGGGGTAGATCAGTCGGCAGTGTTTCCACCAGTACGTCCCTATCGGCGCACGTCGGCAGATCCTCTAGAACGGGGTTATCCTTCCAGGTCGAAACTATGGAACGAAGTGCGAGGATCTTTAAATCGGGGATTACACCGTCATCCCACGAGGCGTCTTCCGCTCGAAGCGTCCTTCCTTGCTCCTGCGGTAGCAGCGAGGTTTCTGGCGAGCATCTGCGAGTCAATTCGTCGAGATAAATACAATGTATATTGAATGAATGAAGCTAATATTATTTGTATCTCTATAGTACGAAAATGTTTATTTCGGGGATTGCCGCATTTGTGACGCGATTCTTCGCGAATACTTCGCGTTGCTATAATTAAACTGCTTTAAAAGAATACTTTCAAAGAGAACATCTTTCAATGGATGCCTGTATTCAAGGAAAATTCGATTTGCGCGTATATATAAAAATCAGGATATATGAGGTGGGATAAGGGAAGACGTCGTGAGAGGAACTTATTCTATTCTCTATTTTATACCTGTACGTAGCTACAACGTTTCTCGATATCGTGTGCGGGATTCTCATTGTTCTCGTCTGCACCTCGTTCTGCACAAAGATGAAAAACATGAGGATTACTTCACCATAGGTCGTTGAAACGTTATCGTAAATGATTTACGTTCGCAGTTTCGATTTGCTATTTCTTACACAGGGGATATGAAACAGTATATGGATCGATCAACCTGTTATCTATGCAATTGGTTTGATTAATTGTTTCGCGCCTATACTACTACTGCTACGATATCAAAGCAACTAAAAATGTCATCCTGTACTCTATTGATGGACTAACGAGTCATCGGTGTCTCACCAGTCCATATTTTCAAGCTATAAAAAAATATGGTATTGCTCGTCCGAACAAATGACCACCGGCAAATATATACATATATAGAGTGTCGCTTAATCTCGCTCTGATAAAACTCTCGCGGAACTGAGTATGATCGTTTTTCACGGCCTTCTTTCTTTTTCTTTTTTTCCAGGAGTGTCCCGAGGGAGTAGTGCACGAGGACTCGTTCAAGGACATTTACGCGAAATTCTTCCCGCACGGCAGTGAGTTCCAATTAAATAACAGTCCACGTTTTTGCGTAATTAGTTAATGGCCACCCCTCATGCGAATTGCAGACTCCAGTCTCTACGCCCACTACGTGTTCAAGGCCTTCGACGTTAATTGCAACGGGGCCATCAGCTTCAGGGTAATTAAGTCTATCTCTCTCTCATGTAATGTATAGTTTTTTCATTAATTTTAAATTGACTGATATGTCACTAGTGTATATCTTTGCTTTCGAATGACGGCGCGCGACGTGTGGCCTCGTCTTGAAATATGTCGCGTATCATTTATATGCGAGAAAATTTTCCTGTGATAACCTACTGAACGCTTGTATTGACGAAACAAAGCAATTATTTAGAAGTTCTTAAATTTTATTTATTTTTATTTGAGTACTTAATTAATTGTTAAGTATATACAAAATATTATTCAATTGCTTGTTAATTTAATAAAGTTATATATATGTATATTACTATTCTGATTCTGCTCATGTTGATATTTTAAGACCAAAAAATGTGTATTTTGGCGCATGATCGGCCATTAATGTATACAAAATCAAATTGTATATATAAATTCACACAAGAAATATTTAAGCACTAAAATTCTACTTTGACGTTCGCATTTAATTAGATTTAATTCAAACTTTCAATAATTTGAATAAATGGACGACTTATAATTTGTGACATTTCCTTAATTTTTTTGCTAAACTATATAGTACGTTGATATTATGTAAATAAAAGATTTAAGTAAAAATTGTGTTTTAAAAATGCTAGGAAGATTTGCGAATTATCGCCATGTCGTTATCCATTGCTAATGCCAACGTTTCGTGAACCTTGCCATTCACTTTACCAGCGAGAAGCGTATATTGATGAATTATTTGCCTTTGAATCTATCCAATAATAGATTTAAAAACAAACAACTTTGATTTAAACCTTTTTTAAATATCACTTATGGGAAAAATAAGAAAATGTCACAGATTATGAATCATTCATTCATTTGTCTAGATATCAAAAGTTATTGGGGGCTTAAATTAAAATTTTTAACATCAAATCCTGTGATAAATCGGATTTACCCCATTCGACCTATATCTTGCTACTTAAAGTTTTAGACTTTAACTCAGGTTTACCTTGGGTAATTTCCGGAAAACCGAAATGATGCCGTTAGATAGTTCAGACAGGCTTTGATGATAAAATTTCTTCATTTACCAAGTATATTAATCAGTGGTTGAAAGATCTCGATTTTTTGATATTATAAAATTCGGTATAATAAAAGTAGATATGGATTAGAAACATATATTTTATTTAAACATTTAAAGAAGCATTTATTCAGATTAACGATTAGTTATATAATAATAATAAATTTCCGAGTCGAAGTAATGCTACTTGATTACGCTATGCAACAACTTGTACATTAATTTTAAATTTATCGCATTATTATCATCTACTCTATTCGGGATTTTAATTCAATTTCGCTCATATCTAATTCAGGTCACGTTTAATTCATTGTGTATTTTACGCCGCGATTTCTGTTCAGTGTGTACATAGTTCTCCAGTCGACGCTGACGCGCGGATGAAACGCGACGGATCTCGCCGGGAAATTTCGGCGTTATACGACAAACGGAACGCAAATGCTGATGCATTTATGCGGGCGGGGCAATGCACATCCGCGTTTCGCGATAATAGCGCGGCACGCGATCGAACGGCCTGGTCGCCGATCGACGAGCCAGGACTACCGCCAATTGAGCCGATCGTCTATCGGATGAATAATTAATCGTTTTTACGATAAATGCGGGATACGCTGGTATGTATCGGATACAGAGGCAAATGCGCCTATACAAAGCTCTCTCACGGGGCTCACTGATCATCCGTCATTCCATGCGAATGCTGCATGGTCACTAGCGCATACAGAAATTATTACTACCGTGAAGGCAGCTTGATGCTGAGCATCAGCACACGGAGGTATTAAAGCTTTCAATGCCAACGCGGTACTCATGTGGGACATGAACTCGGATATACCCGGGCACAATTTTGACTAATTCCCTTGCCTATGTTTCGTATTATACAGATTGTTCTTTTTTTGTATTTGCAGGGTTTTTTTTAATGTGCACTTATGACTGTAGTAATATAATAATATAATGCTAGATATATCTAGATTATAAGCATATTGATGATTAAGGTGTTCTCGATCGGCACTTCGTGAACTATATAGTCGTGTCATGTTGAGCCCGTCATATTAAATTTTCGAAAAGGCTAATAAAAATATATAAATAATTTACAATTTGAACCTAGAAAGAAATTTTTTTGGTCGAGTTAAATTTTGGATAAAAGGTGACCTTTTTTTAATATAAAACGCTACATACACATACATACGTACATACATACATACATGTATATACATTATATACATATAGAGAGAGTGCTTTCGAGTTAAATTGCCAAACGTAAAATATGAATTTAAGACTTCAAAACAAACACAATTTTCCTCTGGAAGTTTTCTCGCGAACGTTTCGTTTGAGATATTGGCTTCTTAAATTACAGAATACTGTAGGAATAAGTAATGTCGAAATAATTTAGATTTATTCCCTTTAATGCTTTAAATAATCAAAATGTAATTATTAAATATTTTGTTCGAAAGGATGACCTCAACTCTGAGACAATCATTGCACTTATCGATGAGAGAACGAATGGTCTGACATTGTGCATCTATAATTTTTTCGCACGCTTGCAATATTTTTCGTTTTTATGATTGAAGATCGTTAAGGAGCACTTAATACATTTTTTGCTTCAGAGCATCCTTTACAAAAAAATTTATCTAAAAAATTATTTATTCCAACAGTGTTTTCTAACTTAGAAATCAATATCTCTTAAACGAATCTCTCTCCTAAGTTCGTGTTCGTAAGTTTGGCGGTTTAACTCGGAAACACCTGTATATAATGCTATATAAAAATTATCAATATAATATATATCTAATATACAATTTATGAAATAATTATATTGCTGTTAAAATTAGGGATGCAACGGATATCCGACCGATTCGGTGCATCCCTGGTTAAAAGTCTAGAAATTGTGATTTTATTTAATTTTATTTAAAAAAGCATCGGAATTTAACCTAAATTATGTTTACCAATTATATCATTTTATTCTCAAAAGTGCAATTGTGTCATTATTGAATCATAATTTAAATATGCAATGTTATATAATAATTTTTCATTTCCTGAGAGAAAATGTCAACGAGCGTTTATTTTAAAGAAACGATTAACTTTCTTTCTGCTTTTCTGCTTCGCTGGCGTCTCTCGTTCTTTTTACATTTATTTACGTCCGAACTATTTTTCATTATCCTTTGAATTGTGAAATTTCATTTAAATTTTTATGAAATTCACAAAGTGTGGACAAGCTCGACGTTCGGACACTCGAGAAGCACTCATTCCACCGCGCGTTTCGTATTAAAGTCGCGCGTGATTTGACAATCCCGGGGATTGCAGGACCTTCTCGTGACGCTGTCGACTCTACTGCGAGGTAGCATTTATGAGAAACTGAGGTGGACCTTCAAGCTGTACGACATAAATGGCGATGGCTGTATCACCAGGGGTGAATTGGGCGAAGTCGTGACAGCAGTCCATGAGCTCATGGGCAGGCGGCATCACGCCGAAGAGGAAAGGAAGGCGAGAGAACAACTGGACAGGGTCTTCAAGAAACTCGATCTCAACCAGGACGGTGTTATCACGATCGAGGAGTTTATCGAAAGTTGTTTGAAGGTACGTCTGGCCATGAAACTACGAGCAATCAAGTAGTAGATCGAAAGTATACAGGGCGTCCATATCGTCACTCCCTTTTGTCTCTGCAGACTCTTTAACTTTTCTTTAACGCCTTTGCTATCAGTATGTCACATACGCTCTCCTATTGATGAATCAGACTGCAATAATAATGTCAGTTTAGTTAAAATCTGAATAGAAGAAGGTATAGTAAACTTGGGACACTCTGTATGCACTCCCTTTCGTAAATGAATATAAAGTCCGAGACGTATACGTATGTATATACAAAATGTCCTAGATATGCCGGGTGTTCTTTCAACTAGTTGAAACTAGTTTCAACTCGCAGTTCAACCAGAGTTGGAACGATTCCCTCTTTTTGAATAAGTTCGTAATTTTTCATGTTACATTTATTGCGATAATTAACTGTCGAATTGTGCATTTCTGTAGAAAGAATAGATATCTTTTTATATTTCACTTGAGAAATATGATTCCATTATCTACTTATAATCTTGGAAATTTGGCAAAATCATTCGATAGATTAAATACATATTTCCATAGCGATATTTTTATCAAAGTGTCTATATCATCAAAAAACTTTCTTGTAAAATATTTGCAATTTCTAACTCCTCGTATACTTGATTCTGCGATACATCGGCCGCTATTATCATAGTCGATTCTTATATTCGAGATTGTCTTAAGTATAGTTTTAAGGTACCTACTATAAACAGTATAAGCCAATCACAGTGCCATATTAGGATAAGACATTTAAGACAATCTTAAAATAAGAACCGACTATGAATGTCGGCCTTTTACACAAGTATAGGAACGTACGAATTATGCTCTAACAATAAATGCACGTGAACTTGCGGTGCACGTGAGGCACGAATGCAAGAAACAAAAATAAGGACACCGAAGATTTAATCGATGTTTACGGAGCTTGCGCGAGCTTGTTTGTAGTTTGTTCAGCGCTTTTGTCGATAGCGGAATGATATTCCAGGCAAGGCGCGCGTGTCTCGACCGTCCCGTTAAGAGTTTAGAACTTATAGGAGGAAAAAAAAAACAGACAACGTGGTTCTCAGTTGATATAAAACTTGACTGCAGGACGATGTGATCACACGATCGCTGGCGATGTTCGACTGCGCGCTTTGATCTCCGGCTAAAGACGAGCCTCCAGCAGCGGTCACCGCGACGCCGCCGACGCCGCTCTCGACGACAACGTTCTCACAATCCCTATCCCCGTCGCCGCCGCCGCCGTCCTATTCCCTGCTGCCGCCTATCCCGCCACCTCTGCCCTCTCAGCCGCCACCTGGTTACACCGTCCAGGATCAGGAGCTCTATCTACTCCTGGCTGCCCACTGGTGGAATCAACCAGAGGCGCCGCTCTTTTGTTGAAGGTAAATCTATACAAAGCTATAAATTTTCCAATAGTTTTCAAATCAGTTGAGAGTCTTTTCTCCTTCTCGAACGAGATAAGAATTTCTCGGACGTAATTCTTATGAAAAATCGAAGATATCGGAATAGTTAGAAAATATGAAATACGTTAATTCAATGATAGATGATCTCTCATAGAATTTGAAGACAATTTCTTTCCGACGAAAATTTATTTAGAGGATGATATCTTTATTGAATCTTTTTTTATATCATCCCACCATCTCAAGAATTGAATTATCTAAATGTTAAAGTGTACTTAACTGATCGCTTTATCTCCTTCTATTTTGCTTCTGTTTTTATTCCACAACTTTTGCCTTTTTTTAAAAATATTTTCTTTAAAATCTTTTTCCTCGGTCAAACCTCTTATGATTCAATACCTTGATCTTCTTTTAGGGCAACGCGATAATACGGCTCCTAGCAACGTAGAGTAGCAATCGAGGTCTAAATCTCTGGAATCGAAGAGCGGATTTCCCAGCATCATGTTGCCTCTTCGTTCTGCTAACGTTGCGCAAGCAGTACGAAGACACGATGCAAGATGTTGTTCTTATTCTCGCCGTCGAACGGAGCTTAGCGAATACTCCATTGCCATTTCGAAAACAACACGAAGAGTGGAACACGAAGAGACCGTTTCACCAACACGGACGATCCCGTGATGATGATCGCCGGATATTTTGGCAATCGTGGAAATGACAATTGGCGTTGATCTCTGGCAAGAATCTAGCGGAGTTGCAAGAACTTGATCTAAGGTCATACTGTATATTAATACGCGAGATAGGTATCTGGCGCAGCTCCTACATTACGATCTCTCGCGCTTTGTGAAGAATGGTGTCTAAGAAAAGGACGTCCTGAAAAGTGAAAAAGATGCTGATCGAGGCTCGAACGAGATCGACCTCCCTTTCTACGACTCGCCACGAGAAGATTCAGTGATCGAAGAACCCTGGTATCACGGATTTGTGCCAAATTTATTGGATTTTCAGACGACGACGACAAAAGAACGGGGAAAACGGCAGGGAAAGGTGCTATGCGTGGCTGTGAGTTGAAAATTACAGCATGAAAACAAGGATTCTAAATTATAAAACAAAGAAAATAATTATAGATCACTCAGGAGATGTCACATCCAATTGCAGACGTTCACGTTATTTGCACGATTCTGTTTCTACGGTAGGTGCAAAAAACAAAAAATTATAACGAATCGCGTGACTTCGCGTTACCAGGAGCGTTACTCATGACTTACGGGAGATTCATTTGGAAACACATTTTCTCCTATACTTGAGTACATCTTCTCTCTGATGATAGATTTCTTTTTTCTAATGCTTCGTGCATTAAAAAGGAATTCTCCGCGTTGAAAGAGATTGACTAAATTTCCCTCGTTGTAGATAATTATTTTACATTAAAAAAATGTGTTATTTGTTTAGAAGAAAATACATCTCATGGTATTATACGTAACAGGGTACATCTCGCCGTTATCACACGTTGTCTCTTGATGGCGACCGCTTCTTATAGATGATTTAGGGACCCTGTATAAAGTAATACATGCGAGAGACTTTTCTATCGTCTATCATTTGGCAGTTCAAGCACTCCGCGTAATTGTTACAATTGTTAATTTTTTTTTATATTCTCCGCAATTACGACCGTTTATTATGATCGCGTGGTCGCGACAAATGTGCATCGCGAAGATAAGGCAAGATTGATTTAAGTCGTTTTACATAGAATGCAGAATCGCAGGACTCGCAGGTCGCAAATAGACGCAGCGTGACGTATTTCCGATGGCAGGCTACAGAACGCTAGACGCAGGATGCGAAAGTTGGAGTTCGTCCAACTTTAGTGCGTCCTACGTCCTGCAACTTATAAAGCTGGATCTATATAGCACGCGGAACGAGGGTCGCAGGTCACAAGCCTAGAAACTAAGTTAACGTATTTAATTATAATTGCAGGACCTAGGACGCAGGAAGTTGGGTGAACTTCAACTTTCGCGTCCTGGGTCCTACGTATTGCGGCTTGCGATCTATAATCTGAAATATGTTTTACTTGCGACATGCGACCTGCATTCTGTGTGCTATGTAGAGCCGGCTTTATAGCCGTTTCGACGTAGCCGTGCATCTCTCCCAATTAAATTGTTAGTCACACGATCGTTGATGATCGTAGATATCATACATATGTATTTTCGTTGGTAGGTTCGTAGGTTGACACTTCGTTGTACGTCCTTTTCTAGATCCAATCGATTCTAACGGGCCGCGCAGGCATTCAATATTTCTGCTAACAAGGGTACGGTCAATTTTTCTATACAAAAAATGCATACCCTTCGGCCAATACTTGCTTATTGACAAAATCAATACCAGCCATCCCGCAATTTGCGGTCAATTTTTCCCCTCTTTTGCATCGATATTGTATCAGAAGGTACACGCCGATGTTTATCGGACAAGTACTTTTGGTCTTATCAATCCGTGTTTTCCTACCACTTTTTCCCTAATGGTATAGTTTTGCGATATCTGCCATTCAATCGTATCACCGATATTGAAGCACTGACAAGAGATATTGATCGCCTGCGGACTCCTCGCGAGCGTTCATAGCGTGTAGGTGTACGTGCGTGAAGCATCGATTTTCTAATGTATCCGTTATTGCGAGTCGTAGGCGTGCGAGTGTGCGGACATACGTCAGACTAGGTAAAGTAGCGGAAGCCTGAGCGGCGATTTATGGATTATCAAAATCGATTACAATGAAACACCAAAGCTACCGTAGTTAGCTATTACTTAAGTATAAACGAGAATAATAATATGGTACGGTTTATATATACATACACGTAATTTTTAGGATAAATTCGCGATTAAGCGCGCGGTCATCGGGCGATTGGGAAAAATTCAATCGTTCTCGGAAAATGCACACCGTCTCTCTTGTCGATACGCTCTATATAGAAAAATACACGCAACGCGATAACGATCCACACGTACCCCTTTGGAAATATTGTCTGTCACCGTGGTTCGTATCAAGCTGGGCACAGGATCGTCGTTGATTGGTCGCGTCGTTGATCGCGATTAATAGTCGCGAAGCGACTATCAATCGCGCGGTTTTCCTCCTCGGGAGGAAGTATCGTCGCAGAGCGATGGGACGAGCACTTTCGCCGCGGTGGCTTTCACGAGAATTAGGAACACGCGTGTTGCTAGGCTACGCCCCGAGTTACACGTGCGTTTCTATAACGACTAATCAACGACTTCATAACGGCGAAATTGCAGATTTTATCATGATGTAAAATTGTAAAATGTAAAAAGACCAGATGTAATATTACGCATAATAACTAAATATAATTTTACACAGACAAATTTCTAAAGCAGCTTTATATTAACTTAAAATTTGAGGCCAATTTCTCATTGGTCATAAATGTCGACATCGCTTTGAACGACTGCGCATCCTTGAAATTCAACCTGGTCTTCTTACGTTATGGGTTCTACATTTTATTACGGTCAAAAGCGGAGTAGCTAAGCTCTCGAGTTATGTTGGATCTGTTATAAGACACAGGGTCTCGCGTACACTTATATATATAGATAAGTCATCGGGAACTGAGCACACTTAAATATTAAACCTTATGAAGACTCAGGCAGGACATTCAAACAAATTACGCTTGAATAAGTCAAAATAAAGCTTAGCTAATTCAGACAGTTGAAATTAATGATTGATTCTAAAATTCACGGTTCGAATATTCGAGTAGTTCGGACATCACTAAAGCCAAAATAATAATTCTTACAAACAAAAAATTAATTTTTGTTTGTTTTAATTTAGACCTGTGAGAACAAGTCTAATAGATTGAACAAGTCGAAATGTTCGATTGTACAAAAATTCTGAGCGTTAATATTACATTTTTTAAATCAAGGAACTTACTTAGGTATCTCCCTTGAATTTGAAAATGTAAAAAGATTATAAAATATAATTCAAATGACTCTACGAAGAATGACGATAGTTTCCCTCTTCTTTCTTTTTCTTCTTATTTTTTCTTTGATAATCTCTTATAATTTCCTTTGTAATCCTTTTGTTCTCCTACTGTCTTATATAGAGATGCTGCATCTCGAATCTGTGTCATCTGTGATTGTATTTAGCAGAAGCTATCATCATCAATTAAGTGTCAAGACCGAACCTGGAATGAAAGCATGCATACAATGCCAGCCATTAATCTGCGAACGCTTATAGAAAGTTGTAAAAAGTGAGAAAAGCGACCTATCCATAACAACTTTTTTTAAGTTTTTAATCAACGATGCGTTAATTTATATTAGAAGAGAATGATTTAATGTACAAAATTATATATATTGTTTTTATGCTGGACATTCCGCAAGCGTTGTCACATTAATGGCACCTTCGTAAGAAATTCGAGAATGTAATTAAAATAAAAGATGAAATCCAGCAACATTAACGCGCGCGATCAACAGTGCAAAATCGCTGCGATTATCTCGCCAAGATAACTGTTGACGGAGGATTTATATTCTTTAGAATATATGTATTTACATAATATATATACAATATATGTATACATATAGCGCGCGCACACAAAATACACACACAACAAACGTGTCGTATGTTTTTAAATTGGAGCGATTAATACCGTCCTGCTACTTTGAAATATAAGCACCGATTTGTCTGAGCGGAATCGCGTTGATTACTTCAATTTGAAGATGGCGATACATATTTATTATATGTATATATCTTCTTGTGGTCTCGTTGATATATGTATATTTAATATTTATACATATTGTAGCGCCAGCCACAGAGATATGTATAATATAATTTTTTTTTGTAAAATATCCATACGTTATATCTCTGCCAGCATATTGATTGATATTCAATATGCGCTATAAAATGTTATAACATAAATCGAGAATCGCGGGCATACGTTTTGAGATATTGAGCTGAAATTTTTCTAACAGACTTTTACCATACATTTCTCACAGTCCACACTATTTCGAAATTAATTTAATTGCAAACGAGCAAACATTGGACACAAATTGGCACCTCCCTTTGTTTTTATACGTATTCTAATGGAAAATTATATCTACATGCGCATAATTTGTACAAACACGGGATGCCGTATATTTTTTATAAATTTTGTTACTTTTTGCGAGGCACGAAGTATTTTTGCAAAAATGTTTCTCTACACAGTCTTCGTGTAGTAATCAGTAATTTTTGCTGATTGCAATTCTTCATTGAAAGAAAGAAAAGCACAAAAATTCCTAAGAAAATACTTAAAAGTACATAAAAATGAAAATAATTACCCTAATACCTAGAAATATTCATAAATATAGATTACGCGATTTTGATTTGAATATAATTGATCGCGCGTTGTTTGATGTTTAATAATTAAACATGCCTATGAATTATAAATTGGAACAACAGAATCCTATATAAAACAGAGTTAATTAAAATCTACTTGCTTTTAATTATGTATACTAATTGTAAGTAATAAATTCTCGAAATAAATTGTGAAATGTTCCTAGGTAAAACAATATTAAGCACTGGATATTGGTAAATCATTTGAAAGTAACGGAATAGAAACGAATACACAAATTATTTAGAAATTATGTTGATTCTAATAAAACTTTACATTTTTTTTTCACATAAACCGCCGAATTTGCAAAATATCTTTTGACAAAATATAACTTTTAAGTGGCTAAAACACGATTAAGTTCCGTCAAAGCTAATTACAAAGAATATAAGAAATTAAGATAGTTAAATGCAAAATAAATTAAAATTAATACTTAATTTACACAATAATGTTTTCGGACAACAGCCCTGTGTCCAAATTTTCAAAACGTGCATTAAAGTAATGTCATATCACTGGCTCGATTGCGTGCATCTTAACAAATACGTTTAATAAGCATATCTTTAATTAATATGCGGTTGATTTTGACTTTGGAGAATAAGTATGTACGTTTGAGATGGACCTTGACTGTCAAAACAATCGGGCGATTGAATAAAGAATGCGTTATAAATCGAATCAATTACGATAAAAGATATGAGAGAAGAGAAAAAAATCGAAGGGGACGGGGATTATGGATTTAATTGAGCAACAACCTAGTCAATTTATTAAGATTTAGAAGTTAAATCTATCGTAAGAATGTAAAAAATTGCGTGGCTTTAATACTGTTGAAGTATTATTATTACTAGTCATTATCTCTCTCCTCCTTTCCTCAATCACTAAGCGAGGGACAGTTTTAGCGAGCGCGGAGATGATCTCCATCTCATTATATATGTACGTTTAACGGTGTTTTAAACGTGATAGTCATATAAATACACATAAAATAGTCGACAGGATCTATCAGACGGAGGCCATTAATATTCGAGCGAATTATTTCAACGTTTGAATCTATTTGCATTAATTATATCACACCTATTATAATTAAACATTTATATAATTAATTACATAATTAATTATATAACCTGTTTCATTACGACGAAGTTAAATAATTGTAGTTACATGAGTTTACAATTCAATTGTATATTATTTATCTCGTCTAAAAAATTAATTGAAATGGTTTACGAAAGATCAAAGAAAATTAATATTATAAATAAATAAAGTTTTAACTTACTCGGCTGCATTGTTTTCTAAAATTTGTGATAATTTTTATTGGGATATGAAAACAGAGTAGAGAAAAGTTTTCACGTATTATTTAAGTGTAGCGAAATACGTTGAAGCTCGAAATATCGGTATGGTCTCCAAATAATACATTCGTAATATTGCTCGTGAAAAGGATATCGCAGTTTATTAAAATAGTTAATCGTTACGTAATATCACTGGTTATATTAGAAACGATACAATTGTTGAGCTTGGAAGCACTTTTTTATAGTGAAGTCACAGTTAGACTTACGATCGATTAGCGAGATCCTTCCTCGGGCTCGGATCTGTTACTCTCTTTATAGTGATAATATAGAATACATTACTACAGTGATTATGCAGAATAATGCATTAATTATATCTCATACTGCCAATCTGTAAATCATCATACATAGTTTCTAATTAACGACATCAATAAGTAATATCTCTAGTTAAAGATTATGATAGGATAGGGGTTTCTTTTGAAACACACTTTAACGAATCGTCGAATTTCTTTTCTCGCGCGTATGTTTTATTTCCGTTTAAAGTAAATTCAACTTTTTAAACAGCACATGCATTTGCACATATTTTTTAATTATTCTTATCCATGATTTTCTTTCTTTTACGAGGGTATTCGAAAAATGTTTATTGGATTGGGTCTCTTTCTTTTTATAAATTCTTCTTGTAACTTATTAAACGTATTTTGTAAAATGTATCTCTTACATCTCGAAAGCCCTCGTAAAACTTTACTTTGGTTATTGCCAGTACTTTATAAAATTGACGTAAAAGCGATTAGAGATTATTAGAAATCATTTATAAAAGTTATGATCACGATCACGTTTACAGTAATATGCGAAGCAGAGACCGATTAGAAATTAGTCTAACTACCATTGTGATAGTAATAGGTTTTATAGACGACGCAAAAAAAATTATTCAAGAATTACAGTGCTTTAGTTTTAACTTTAGTTTTTTAGAAACGAGGAGCAAACATCAAATTACGTCACGCACAAGATTCAGAGTTAAAATATTGATGTAGCTTAAACACTATGTACTGCTTTTAAATGATAAAATAAGTTATACTAAAAACGGGGAAAAATTTTTATCATAGTTCCAGCAAACACGAAGTTACATGTAACGTACATGTTAGTTGTAATTTCTTATTCAACAATGTAACTATAATATAATAACACGTGTTACACTATAGTTATATTGTTAAGCGGGAAATTACAACTAACATATATGTAACTTGATGTTTGCTAGAATATAACATCATTATTTGCACATTTTATGAATTCAATTAAAAGTCAATGATGTTTATTTAATTTTATTCATTTTATTGGATTTTATCTGATGATTGTCATTACGGAAAAATTTAAATTGTATTATATGTGTATGTATGTGAAGTAATCGAAAATGTATCTCTCATTTTATTATATGTATTCTTATTTAGCTAGTACACAAACTATCGCTTAAAATAGTAGTGAAAATCATTGTTACTAGGTTTACCTAATTCTTACAACACGTTATTGAATCTGTTACACAAATCAATTAGTCGTGCGACATAGACGCACGATGTGCAGATCACAACTGCAAGTTAATTGCTTTACTGGCGCAATAAATTCGATAGTCTTTCCAATTGTTCCAATGCGTAAAATCGATTCGTTTTCAATCAAATCGTAATGAGTAGAGGCGACAGTGGTGTTCCTGTGTTATCATTCTAATTATATCTTAAGGCGATTAGACTTATCGAGACAAAAACAGATTGCAATAAGCGAAATATCATTGTATTGTTAGCGATTTTCCACTGGGGTGGTATATCAATAAATGTTAAATATGTCGAATTAAAAATCCGAATTTTCCTGACTTTTCCATCGGACATTTAAACTCGGTTTTTCATTATCTAGTTGACTTGATTAGGCTTAACTTATTCTATGATGTTATGGATGAAGCCCATTAAATAAAATGTCAGTTAAGTTTAACCACAAGTTAATCAGATAATGAAAAATCGGACCTTAGTGTAAGAAATAATTTAGACGTAAAAATTGATTAATAAAAGGGAAAATATAAGATGAAAAAAATATAAAAAATGAAAGAGATCATCATAGGTAAGATAGTGCAATTTCAAACATGATACAATTCTGAACGAGATCAAATTTGAATCCGATTTTCGAAGTTCAAATTTAGTAAAAATCCTCAAATCATTATGTGAAAGATACTGAAGGATATCAAATAATAGGGAAAAAATATTAAACTTCAAATCTATTTTATTCAGAATTGTATTCGAAATCGTACCATCTTACGCTACGTGTCTTTTTTGTATTTTTTTTATTAGACTAATTTGTAATAGTAAGTTTACAATCGCTTATATTTATTACGATATAGGTATAAAATTATTACAAAATTTACAAATTTTTTATTCATTTTATGCAAAACATATATATACAAGGGATATGTTTGTGGTGAATCAGTTAGAGCCATTTAGAAGTTTCGAAAGAGTGTACGCCTTCAGCTCTCAATCGATTAAGAATAGGTCGATATATATCGGGCGTGAAAGGTAGTACCATTCCACGCTGCTGAATTTCACCTAAATAAAATTAGGATTTTAAGAACATCAGAATAAAAATTCTGTTGAATATATATTCAATTATAATATATTAATACATATTACATGATTAATAATTTAGTAATAAAGTCGAGTAATGAGATGATATAGGATAATGGTATTTCATGCACAAAAGTTCATATATATATAATATTTTATATATTTGAGATAAAAAATAAAATCGGACTATATATATATTACAAGTCATTCTCGATGAATGTTTTATAAATCTTAGACTCTTGAACCCAAAGACATAGTGTGTCATAGAGTATGAATTGCATCTCATCCGTGTGTTAAACTGATCGACAAAAATGAATGAGGTAGGACGCGAAAACGGCTACATCTATTAAGTATAAAATATATATAAAAACTTTTACATATGAAGTACTATACTCTCATTAATCAATTTTATCGTAAATTATATTTTTAATTCAAGTCAAGTATATTTTTATACGTATAAGTCATTCAGATAAATATCTTTTTCTCAAATGCAGTATTGTAATAAATATCGATATTTCTATAAAATTGAGAATTAATCTACCTTTTTTATAAATTTATCTTATATGTATATCATCACTGGAAATATTTATACATTTTCTATATATAATAATTTAGTCATCTAGATATTTGTATTTTTTTTACTATTATTGCGGTATGAAAATTATCTTGTACGATAAGAAAATATAATTGATAAGTGACAATTTTAAGAACAAAAACAATTTTAATCTAATTGTACAAGTAATACAAAAAATATCAAAAGAAATATACGAACCATCTAGAATCATCTTGACGGCAATAGCTACGGGATAACCGACGGTACGCGCCATCGCAGAATGTCCAGAAGCATCTCCATAAAGCACCAAGTTGATTCCTCTGGATTCCCTCCTGTTATCCGGCCAAAGGATACCTACATCATGTCTCAGTATCACTAAATCGCGTTCGTTTTTCTCGAAAGAGAGTTTTTTCGACAAATAATGCGTAAGCGTGTCGAGAGGAGTGTTTAATTTCAAGACCAGGTCCTCTTCTAGGAGACCCAATTCCTCGATGGCTTTCACGCGCTCCCACGAATTCATCCTCTCCGCTAATTTTTGCTTCAGATTTCCGTAGAAGATGTTGTCGTTCGCCAGACCAAGCAAGTTACATGCCAACACTCGCTGGAATTTAAGCGATCAGTAATCGAGATAGATTATTTTTTTCTTGTTGAAATATTCCGCGAATATGTGGAAAGCTGAAAGCACGCACCCAGGTGATGTCTGGCCCGTTCGGATGTAAAATAGGATGCGGATTCGGATCAATTAAACCAAGCAATTGTAGGCCCAGTATGGTATCTGAAAATCCCTTGAACCTGAGCGTACCGCGCAGTACAGTATTCGCGTTTTGCAAACCATAGTAATCCCTGTATATCGTACTGTCGCGATTGGGATAGCCTTCCAAGGCGAAACCCGGGAGGAAGTCCAAATCTTGCACGGTAGACATCAAATCGCCGCCTCCCGCAATCTCCACTTCCTGCAAAGAAAAAATTCTTTTCAAAATTCTTTTTTAAATAAATCTTATTTGTATTCATAAAGGATCATTCTCTTTTTAGAGATAAATACAAAAATACTTTAACGGCTCACCTGACCCTCATGAAGATATTTCGCTGGCGACAAAGTGTTTAACAGGACACCTCGTGGAGACCAACTGAATTTATACCTCAACGGGTTGGAGGAACACTCCGGTGCAGGCAAACCGCCACACCACGAGACAAAGGATTCTATCTTTCCACCCGCTTGTCTTATATCATCGAAACACTCGATTGCCAAAAGGTGGTCGATACCTGGATCCAATCCAACTTCATTCAATACGGTGATGCCAGCTTCTTGGGCTCTGTCCCCCAAAAAACAGCGAGCTTTTACCGTTTCTACTAATGTAGATTAACTTTAATCAATTCAGCTTATTTTTTTTATTTACTAATTCTTATAACTAAAAAAAAATGAAGAGTTAGTTGAACCATATAATTTAAAATGCATTGAACCGGGTATTAATCTTTCAAGTAAGCACATCTGACTTACTATGATGATAAATGATACTTCTTCATTTAAAATACATTTTTCGCATTTATTTTCACCGCGATTCTAATCACAAAAAGCAATAAAAGCATCATTATATAGGCGATTATATATTTACTAATTCTAAAAGTTATTAAGATTTTGCGTTGAACATATTGCAATTGTATGTCGAATGCATTTTAGGATAAATAAACTCGTTGATGCTTACTCTTCGTGCAATGCCTTAACTTCATTATTCATATAGCTTGCTGTTACTAGGTGATTTTTGGTTTCTATACAAGCTTTGGCGATGACGTGATGCAGCGAATATGGCAGAAGGGAGACGACTACGTTCGCCGATTTTATCACGTCGTGCAACGTATCAGAACGATCCAGAACGTTCAGAAAGACTGGCTCCACACCTGGGAATCGATTGGCCAACGCGTCAGCCTCGTCCTTCAATTGTGACGCCACTATCAGCCTTACGTTCTCATCCCTGTGCAAATACTCGACCAAGGGTGCGGAGACGTATCCTGCGCCGAGAACGACCACCTGTTGGCATAGACAAATATAATTTTGATTCCGTAATATTGTTCATTTTATGTAGCTTTAAATCTACTACTAGAATCTGACTATTAGATTCGTTCTAAATTGTCGATATTTTTGCTATATTTTACAATCGCAATGCGCTCATACACATCACATTTGTAGAGTTTAAAATTCTCGTCTACAATTTTCTTTCTTTGACAAGAATTTTACAATAATACTCTAGCAAATATAATTGCGGAATTTTTCCACCGAGTCGGGTGGTTATCTAATTTGAAATATATAAGATATAATAAGGACGCGAACACAGGAAAAGGAATATTTTACCGTTTTGCTCTGTTGTTCTCTGTTATCGGCTTTGTGCCTACTGCGTTGATTCACTTGTCTGAGTTCTTGGATGTATTCGAAATTAGGCGTCAATTTCCCGTTAGACGCGATAATGGCACCATGCACGGCAGAATTGAAGTTATGCTCGTCCAGCGGTTTTTTCGCGTCCGACTGTATGATGTCCAAAGCATACGGATATAAAAGATTACCGAAGAAGTCCGTTGCTTCTTTCGGCAGTTGCGTGGGCATATTGTCAATTGAACAAACCAGCACACCGGGACCTTTGAAGGACTTCGTGTCCTTGTTCCGGTCGGCATCGTATAGACAAAATGGTGTGTCGATCGTCGTACACTCGTTCATGAATCTTGTATAAAAAATTAATAATTGTATAATAGTGTGTAATAATCTGGTTGTATTACAAAAAACAAAATAAATTAAAAAATACAATCCATGTAATAATTACTTAACTAATATGAACGTTTAGAAAAAATGTTTCAACTTGTCCATACTTTGATATTGTCGTAAATTATTATTACATAATTATAAATGATTATCATATTACTTATAAATTATACGATGAATCTATAACTATAAATTAATAATGATATAAACTATATTATACATATAATCGTAAGATTATGTGTGATTGCGTAACTATTACAATATACTCTGTTACAGAATTGTACAGCCTTCGGAAGTTTTCCTTAATATTCCAAAGTGCATATATATATAGAATACAGAAGTTATAATAATATCACAGGATATCATCATGACCTTATTTGTCATTTAGAAGTTTATTTTTAATTGACAAATGACGTCACGATAAGTTCTTATAATATCATTATAACTTAATTATGTCTCTATATCTATCTGGGTTCGCTCTCTGGCGAATCTCTAATAAACACGTACTCGATGCTGCCGCCCGGATCCGCGGATATGTCGCAAATACCGAGCATCCTGTGCGGCAAGGCGGGCGCGCCGACGCTTATCGGTAGCCATGGTGTATTAGCGGGCCTGAGGAGATATTTCGCGTCCGGTATCGTCAACAACTTCGGCGAATCTATCGCCCAGTATATACCGTTGATGATCACCGAGGCGTACGGCGCTATCTTTTTGCTGAACGTGGAGATGTACAACTCTGGATGCTGGTCGTACTCCTCAGGATCGAAACCGCCGCCCTCCTTCCTCTCCAGGTGATGCCTGCGCCGTACCTCGCAACCGTATATCTTCGTCGTATCTGGAACGATTTGAAGAAAATACAAATACGAAGCACTGATAAGAAATATCGTTGCGATAAATATTTTGTTTACTTTATACGACGATGGTTCCATGAGCCTTGTATAAACAGTTTTATCACTAAAAAAATTAAAAAAGGTATAATACAGTGAGATGGAAAAGTGGCGCAGGGATTAAGACACGCCTCTCTATCACAAAGCTATTAATAAAGATAATAATCGTATGGGGATACAAAGTTTACTTTTTGTATCGTTGCATTGGACCGCATTAGAACATTCTTTCTCTCGTTTGTCAAATATCAAAATATATCCAAATAGCACAATAACTTATCTATTTGAACTCGAAAAGTATTCACCTTCTTAAATTGTTTATACATTAACAATTTGTAGTTTAAAGATTACTCACAAATCACGAAACAGCAGGACAAAAAGAAATAAATTTCGAATCAGAATCAGCGCAAATGAGAGATAATTACGATGTTTGTGAAAAAACTCAATGATTAAAAATGATATTCAAGTATCCAAGCAGAACACAAGTCATTACAATATCAAAATGGTTTCAACATTATTACTGAGATATTTTTCGTTCAGTAAAATGCTTTATTTTAACATCATTTTAACGTTATTATAAAGCCTGTTGTTTTGCTTAGGTAAAACGTTTCGCGAATTACGAAACGCGAACGACGACGTCGTGAATTGCAACATACCGCCGTGTTCCGCGACTTTTCGTAACATTTCGGGTGGCACGTATTCGTGGGGCAGCTCTTGGAAGACCTCCTGACCACCCTGGCTAACATTACCGCTGCCCGTGAAGACAAAGGTTAACGGACCAATCGATTTCGGCATGGAACCCAGAGCGATTTCATATCCCGCACCACGGATTGCTTGACGTGCCATGGCTGAATCTCGATAATTATGCGCCGGTCCGATGTGCTAATTAAATGATTATTGCGATCAATTAATTTATTCATTCATATTCATATTTCCTAAAAATCTTATTGATCGCTTATACGTGTATCTTGATAATTATCATAATACATATTTATATTAGTTTATTTTTTCTGCTACGGTTAATTAATATGGTGTTTCTACTGCGGTTAATTAACTTATTGATTCATATTCATACAATGTTTTCTAAAGATTCTTATCGATCGCTTATACGTATGTGTTCTTGGTAATTGCTTATCATAATACACACCTATATTAGTTTATTTTTTTCTACTACTGAAGGAGAACGGAGGTATAAAATTAAATAAAATTTTATCGATTAGATATAGTATACCATTCAATATTCTCTTAATGATATTCTCTTTAATATTAGGAGATAACATTTAATAAAACTATACAAAGATAACAGAAATAGGTCATTCTAAATTTGCATACATAGCCTACTGTTCTCCAGCATAAAAAAGCAGAGGGATATCTCGTGACTTTTCTTATCTTAACACGAGAGCACAAAGGATGTATTGTCATTTTCTAAAATGTACAAATAATAAATGAAATTTAAAACTGTAATTTGTTATTAAATAATATTTATATTATAATAAAATTGGATATTTATGTTGAAATTGTTTATAATAATTATTTAAATTTAATTTAAATGTTACTATGTTTTCACTAATGTTATATTAAAAAAAAATTGAATAATTCATGAACACATTTCGCACTCTTACACGAAAATGATACGATAAAATTCCAATTTTCTAATTTCAAAGTATTTTTTAAATTCTATTGTTTTATATCTATGTAACTCTTTAAAATTCTTATATATACATATATTTTGTTCACGATTAATAAATTATTTAAAACTTTTCTTTATACATAAGAATTTAAGTTATTTTAATAAATTATATTTAACGAAAACTATATGGTTAAAAAATCTGAACAAATTTAGAAATATCTATATATTAATTATGAAGTTTTTCCAAGTTTGATCAAATCCTTATAAAATATAAGCCGAAAGGTCTAGAAACAAAACTTTTAAATTTATTACTTAAAAACGTGTTTTACCGCTAAAGTAAAAACGTTTAGTTCATTAGAGAAAACTCTTTCCAACGTAAATTCGATATTTATAATTATTTCTAAAGTATAAACGTACCATAAACGGAGTATGATGGCCCAATGCTAGTAGTCTGAGACCCAAACCGTGGAGTATGTTCACCATACCAGCAACTCCGGCGTATTTGCCGAAAGCCACCAGCCTTTGACCATTTGCGTCCGCGAGCTTTTCGTAGTCCAAGAAACGTATGTTCTTCTCTAGGATCGCATCCAAGAGAGGCATATTACTCTCCTGGGCCTTGATAGTATGCGAAAAAAAGCAGTATGTCTTATTGGGTATCAGTTGATCCACGGGTACCTGCTTGACGCCGAATATAACGGAAGCTGAGCTGATATCCTCTTGTAGCAGGGCGCCTGCCGCTTGATAGACTTGGGCGGGATATGCCCTTCGGTTGCTGGGCTGTACAATCACCTTTACACCTAATCTTACAAGGCGACGAACGTTCGCCGGGGCTAACGGTGCCCTCCTCTCCCATACTGACTGGTCTTCTCGTCTTATAGCTATTACCTTGCCCTTAAGATTCTAAAAAGATTTGATGCAAAGGAACGCTCAGCTAATCAACATATTTTATGCAACAGTTCGATAGTTCGTTTAAAAAAAATCTGTCTTTTGTCTTTCTTATTGAGTTTTCCAGATAAATCATTTTATTCAAATCACTGGGCACTTAATACGAGCTAAGAGTGAAAAAAAAGTAGACATTCTTTTTATTCAAAGCTCGAAAATTAAAAGATTCAGTTTTTGATTCAAACAAATTTTTTAATTTTTTTTTCACTATTGTATATTTGTTTATTCCGAGAATTAGTAATGTCCGACGTCGGCACAATTGATTAAATGGATTGTCATTGAAATGCCAAGTGGAAGGCATTATTTTAAACATAACTAAATGCTTACACTTATACATCTGACGTTATGGGTGAAAGCACGAGATGCAGTAGTCAACAAATGACGTGAATTACGTCCAGCCTTTATCAATCTTAACATCCGCATCACACCTTGATTAATGTTGAGTTAGCGCTAGTGTAAAGGTCACCGTTGCCGGGAGGAAGTCCAATTCACCAGTTGAAACTAATTTGCAACGATCACGTCGACTGGAGTAATGCGAATCTTGCTTGTATTTTCAAACCGTTTAAATTGTGTTTTAAACGAGTCAATAATATACTGCTAAGTCTATGTATTATATATACACTTAACCGTACGTATGTACGTGTACTGTTTGGGTCAATGAAGATGTCAAAAAGTATTACAAAATCGTTGATAAGCTTGGAGCTGTGTTCTTATCAACATCGCACGCGCGTATGACCCTCTAATCACCGTACTGGTTGTATCATTGAAAGAAGTTTACGGAAAAATCCTCGGAAAAATCCGTTTTTCTTTTCGTTTGTGTTTATCACTGACAGCCTGATAATGAGACACGCGCACCAAGAAGTGCATAATCGTAAACAATAAACTTGTCAAGTATATGGCGCTATTCACTGCTCGATATTCGCTTTAAGCTCATTTCCACCAATGCAGAGATTAACTTTAATCTCGGTTTAATTTACTCTTTGTCTTTTTCTAGTTATAAAAATTAGAAAAAGATAAACAGTAAGTTTATTTTTATATTAGAGATTAAAGTTAATCTTTATTGGTGGAAATTAAAGTTAATCAACTTATTTGAAGAGATCATGGAGAATTGAAATGAAAAGATATTTTCCAACACAGTAAAATTGCAATGTATGTATATATATATATATTTCTATCTGTGAAGTTATATTACAGAGAATGGTATTATGTAATAACTGAACAAACACTATACGTGTAATCTCTAACAACTCGGCATACGCGCACTGAAATCAGTTGGATTGCGCTTTGATTGATAAATACATTTTGTTCTTGATAATTTGCTTGGTGGGATTTATCTTTTTCAGTATTTGAGTCATAATGTTGACAAGTTGCTCGGATGTGAGACCAGTCTTCTTGGATTTGAATTTTTGCAGCAACTCGGTCGTTGTCATAGGCTTGCGCATTAAATATCGCCTCACCGCATCCTCCGTGATTCCCGATTCGCTGAAAAATATAAAATATAAAAATTATTATAATAATCGTAATACAAACAAATACTTGTACTAAGTAATACTAAATTAAAGATAAAGGAAGATATACCTTGATCCCGGTATATATGATGTTACTGGAACTAGATTGAAATTATCGAGTTTTAATTTTTTTGCTTGTGATAAGTCTGGAGAACCAGATTGCTTTCTCTTAAAAGAATCCGAAACACCGGACGTTGAAGGTGTCGGCGTTGCGGATCTCGAACTGTGTGCACTATTGGGTTTCTTGTTATCCTTCTCTTTTAATGTTTGGTCAGAATCCGATTCTGAATCACTGGAGAAATCACTAGAGGAATCCTTTCCTGACGCCGATTTCTTCTGATCCTTTCTCTTGGCCTTTTTCTTCTTCTTTTTATCTTTCTTTCTATCTATTTCTTTACTAAGTTTATCTTTATCCTAAAACGTAAAGTACATTAGAAATATAGAACAAAATAGTAAAACGTACATAATAACACTGATAAATTGCTATTGTGCATATATTCATTAATAAAATAATTTATAATCTTTAAAGAATGGAAAATGCAACATGTATACTGTTTATCAATAGATGTCATAACAATATGCTACATTACTTTATCATCTTTTTCTTTTCCTTCCTCATCTTCATCTTTATCTACTTCTCCATCTTTTTTATCTGCCTGTTCCTCCTCATCTTCGTCTTCATCAGATACAAGCAACTTTCTCAATGCATCTTCTTCTGCTACAGACTTAACTTCCTTCTGTGGTTCTGATTCTGATTCAGAAACAGAAGAATCAGAAATATAATCACATTCTCTTCCTTCTTCGTCGCCATCATCACTTTCCTCAAATGCTTCATCGTCTGAGACATTTTTCTTCTTTTTCTTCTTTTCCACTTGATCTAGAACATTTAATTAAATTATATATTGTATTTTATCTGCATATAATACATAAGTAATATTCTCTCTCTCTCTCTCTCTCTCTCTCTCTCTCTCTCTCTCTCTCTCTCTCTCTCTCTTATTATATAAAACTGAATATTTATAACTAAAAAGATATGATTTCTTTTATTACTTTTGTCTTTCTTTTTCTTTTTTCCATTGTCCTCATCGTCAGAGCCTTTCTTATTCTCATCTTCATCGCTGTCTGAATCATCATTGTCAGTCATCCATTCATCCAATTCTGATATTTGCAATTCCTTCTCCTTTTTACCAGGTCTTTTGCCTTTACCACTTTCTACCAGTTCCTCCTCATCTCCACCATCCTCATCATTCCTCAATCTTTTTCGTAACATTAGTGAGAAATAGTTAATTACTTTGTTTCTACGACTAAATTCCTGCTCTGCCTCTTCAGCACTGAGAGATTTGTACCTCTGAATTGGTTGAAAGTTATACCTATGAAATTTTGACTTTTGAGTATTTATTAATAATTACACACAATCAACGATATAAAATCTACCATTCATGTAAAGGAAAGGCTTCTATAGCACCATCAGCAGCATGTGTAAAAACATAATATGCAGCATTTTCACTGATTCCTCCTTCCCGGATGCCTTTAAACTTTTTTCCAGTTTTTCCTCCCGATTTTAAAATCCATGGTTGATCCTCTGGTTTATATTTCCTACTAGAAATACCATATTTCTTTCTTCTGGCTTCTTCTCTAGCATCACGTCCAAATTCAGATCCAGCACCAAACTTTGGTATTTCTTCTTCAATACCTTTGTACTCTTTCATATTATTCTCCCGTTCCATTTTTACTTGGGTCCATTTTGAAAAATCTACATTCAGTGTTGCATTGAACCTCATGACATTGTGCTTCTTTTTGCTATTTCTATAAAAGAGAATTCGTAAATAAAATCAAATATTATTTTATTATAGTGATATAAATAAAGAAACAAGTAGGTATTAGCAATACTAACTTTGGCACTCTAATACTAAATTCCTGCACAGATGGTGTAACTGAGGACTGCAAAGAAGCATAATAATATATATCATCGTAAAAGTGACATAATTCTTATTCCAAAATTACAATGTGCGTTTTTTTCCAAACAGTAGCTATTACAGTAACATAATTTACTTCACTGCTGCAGTTATAATCTGTTAAACTTACCTTTGAAGCTGCACTTGAATTCATTATCGTAATTAAAAAACTTTATGATCTAACGCTAAATTTACGATTTAAACGATTAATTAACCCCAATATCATCTCCAACAAAACCTATGAACGTCTATCTGCACATCTGTTGCATGATGAATTCCAAATTCGCTGTATTTGCTGCCAGTCAGTGTTACCAATTCGCTGAGACCACTACGACACTACGTTTGTAATTCTAACAAGTACCAAAAATTACTAGATTTCGATTAAAAAAAAAGAAATCATAAGCCATAACACGTGATGATACAAAACAGAATTCTTATTGGACGCATTTGGCGTAAAAACTTTGCAGTCCGAGCACTGTTGTAAAATTTTTTAATATGATTGGTCTTGTTTTTAATTTCTGACTGGATCTAAATGTATAAACCAATCATATTCAAGAATTTTGCAATAGTTGCAAAGCTGCTTTTTCTGCTAAACGCAGCCAGTTGCGGTCAGCAGAATGTTTGTTTTACAACTGTTGCAAGTTTTCTTCGCTCTGATTGGATTATATTTTTAGATCTGAAAATATATAATCCAATCAGGATGAAGAAAACTTACAATTGTTGCAAAATAAACATTCTGCCGAACGCGATTATTGTGATTGGTCCATTATGGATCGATACCCTGTTTGTCTGCCCAGTTATCGGTGTCACCGATGTAATTTTGATATGAATGAATTTTATTAATTCTTTCATGTGAGCCCCGTGATAAGTTATATGGTGATTTTTCGATATTGATTTCTAGATTATTTTACGTATCATATTAAAAATTAGGGACATAAAAGGAGGTGATGGAGCAATGACTGAAACAAGCAGACAGTGCTAATTCTACAATTTCCAAATTTACCGAGAAAGATTTATGAAAAAATTAAAACGAAGGCGTGGAATTTTGCCAAAGTCCAGAGCCGATGACGACACTGACGACAGCATCAGCAATAAACTCGAAGCCAATGCCGGCCGGAGTACTGTGCTTCATCATCGGCGATAACTGAGATGGTCGTCCGCGGCTGATAGTATACATTGTGCGCCCCGAGATTCAGCGAGGGAAAAATAAATAAACAGGGATCCTGAATCTCAGGGCAGCGTGTGTGACGATTGCACCAGGTATGGCGCACCAATTGCTCTTCTCAGCCAGCAAGCTGGAGAGGCTAGTCTTGCAGTCTGCTCAGAAAGGTTATTTCGACACGTTTCAGGTACCATAACCTATTCGCCGCCTCGGTGTAGTCCGTGTACTCGTCACATAACGCGTCGCACGCTCGCACTAGGTCGGTAATGTTCTCATGCAAGAAATGACGCGACGAGCATCATTGTGATGTTAATAATCGTCAACGGTTATCGCGCGAACGTTGTCCGCGGGTCGCTTACCTCAGACGTTTTATTGTGCAACCTTCTGCAATCGACGCATCTGCTTATCCTGTCGCAGTTATGATTCGTTTTCTAAGTGTATGTCACATGACGTATTTTTTTTAAAAAGGATTCAATCATGTACCTGTCTTTTTCACTTGTTTGCGTTACAATTTGCCGACTGTCGCAATGAAACACGTGATTTACATCAGCTTTGCGACCGTTATAATTTTGTAGAAGAAATCATGTAATTGAAATATCAAGAATAATGACATAATTCTTATTATTCTATTCACAAATAATTAGAATAATGAGATTAAGCTAACATTTTTTTTTCAGCTGAGACGTCAGTTATCACAACTTAAAAATAGTACAACACTATCTGCCATCGAGCATGTACAGCAGAAGTGGAGATTATTTTGTAAAGAGCCACCTAAAGGATTCGAAAAATTTTTTAAACCAGGTCTCCCTCTATGATTTTTACTCATCTTTTTTTTTTAAATTTATGGCAAATTATATATAATATTTCTAAAGAAATTTTGTTACAGGTGAAGGTAAATCTGGCAAAAATGGTAAAAATGCTACCAAAAAAGTAGAAGAAACAAGTAAAAAAGCTGATACAAAAACACCTCCTCCATCTTCATCTACTTCTACCTCTACATCGTCATCTAGTTCCAAAGAATCAAGTTTCCAGTGGATATCTAAGATCTTTGGAAACAGCTCACGAGGAGGTAAATCTTTCGAAGGTGGTGATAAGGAAAAAACATATATGATTTTGGTTGCACTTGGAATAAGTGGTCTGATTGGATTGCTACTTTCCCAAGACTTAAATCTAAAAGAGATTACATGGAGAGAATTTATATATAAGTGAGTAAATTTTATTACCAATGATTATTCAAGAGTGACTTAAATATTGAATAAAAATAATTTAATGTTTATCACATAATTATAATATATTTTTGTTTTTCAGTTATTTAAATAAAGGTCTTGTCGAAAAGTTAGAAGTAATAAATAAGAAATGGGTGCGTGTGAAGCTTTTACCTGGATATACTGTCGATGGTTCTGTAAGTTCTCAATTACAAGATTAGGTAGAATTTACTTACTTTTGAATTTTCATATCTCAATGCTTCTGTTATCTTGTTAATATTTTTTTATAGAATACACTATGGTTTAATATTGGAAGTACAGATACTTTTGAAAGAAATTTAGAAAATGCACAATTAGAATTGAACATGGGACCTGAGAATTATATTCCTGTGATCTACAAAAATGAAGTAGAAACTGCAAACCTTCTATCATATCTTCCGCAGATTATTATGTGGGGTGAGTAGTTAATTTTGAATTTTAGGAACTATTATATAATTGCGAAGTATCTCTATTATAGGTATGCATGTGTATGTATATATTTTGTGGCTATCACTAAAATATATTTTAGGATTCCTCATTTTCTTAATACGAAGATCTGCGGAAGCAATGTCTGGTAAAGGAGGTAAAAGGGGTGGACTTTTTGGTCAAGTAATGGAATCAACTGCGAAACTAATAAATTCGAAAGATATTGGCGTACGATTTAAGTGAGTAATACATGTATAAGCACATATTTTTATATATAGCACATGTGCAATTCTTGATTAGTAAATTGTGTATTACTTGACACTAGAGATGTAGCCGGATGTGAAGAAGCTAAAATCGAAATCATGGAATTTGTAAATTTCCTAAAGAACCCACAACAATACATAGATCTTGGAGCTAAGATTCCAAAGGGTGCTATGTTAACAGGTAACTAAGGTTTATGTTAAGTATATAAAGTTGTATAAAATGTATATTATTCATTAGATGGGGGGTGAAATGTATTTTTTGATTTAACTCTAACATATCGATCGAAAATTTCAGAATGTTATATTCAGAATGATATACATATATTGTATATACATATAAAAAAAATTTAATTTTTATAGGGCCTCCTGGCACTGGCAAAACTTTGTTAGCTAAAGCTACAGCTGGTGAAGCAAATGTACCGTTTATTACAGTATCAGGTTCAGAATTTTTGGAGATGTTTGTAGGTGTCGGTCCTTCTAGGGTCCGCGATATGTTTTCCATGGCACGAAAACATGCACCATGTATATTATTTATTGATGAAATCGATGCAGTTGGGCGAAAAAGAGGAGGTCGAAATTTTGGCGGACATTCTGAGCAAGAAAATACGTTGAATCAGCTTTTAGTAGAAATGGATGGTACATCGACTTTTAAACACGAAAAAATTGAAAATGACCGAATATTCTAACATTTTTATTAAATTTTCTTTAAGGATTTAACACGACGACCAATGTGGTTGTATTAGCGGCGACTAATAGGATAGACATTCTAGATAAAGCATTATTAAGACCTGGTAGATTTGATAGACAAATATTTGTTCCTGCTCCGGATATCAAAGGACGAGCGTCCATTTTCAAAGTGCATTTAGCTCCTTTGAAAACAAAATTAGATAAAGATGAATTAGCACGAAAAATGGCATCTTTGACTCCTGGATTTACAGGTACATTCTTGAAAATGTTTGGAGAAATATAAGAGTAAAGAAAATATTTTACATTTAATGAAAATCAGAAGAAATCTATCATAACATTGCAACAATTTTAGGAGCAGATATTGCAAACGTTTGCAATGAAGCAGCTCTAATTGCGGCAAGAGATTTGAATGATAACATTCATCTTAAAAACTTCGAGCAAGCTATTGAGAGAGTAGTTGCTGGCCTGGAAAAGAAGACCAAAGTGTTACAACCAGAGGAAAAGAAGACAGTTGCATACCATGAGGCTGGTCATGCGATAACTGGTTGGTTCTTAGAGCATGCAGATCCACTTTTAAAGGTTACTATATCTTATCTATATTTTACAATAAACGGTAATTTTTTGGTAACTTGTATTGATTCTTTTAGGTATCCATTATTCCACGAGGTAAAGGACTAGGATACGCTCAATATTTGCCACGTGAACTATATCTTTACACAAAGGAACAGTTATTCGATAGGATGTGCATGATGCTCGGTGGACGAGCATCGGAAGAAATCTTTTTCGGCCGCATTACTACAGGCGCTCAGGATGATTTACAGAAGGTATTATGATTAACTGTGAAAAGACATGGTATCATTCCTGTATCTTTTGCTTGATAAGCGACTTCAGCACAGTCTCATTTTAGCACTCTTCACAATATTTTTACTTTTCTATATTTCGATATTTCTGTTTATTAAATTACTTTCTGTAATTTTTAAGATTACAAAAGTTGCATATGCACAAATTACACAATACGGTATGAACGAGAAGATTGGAAATGTTAGTTTTGAAATGCCGAATACAGGAGATATGGTCTTTGACAAACCGTATTCGGAACATACGGCTCAACTTATTGATAACGAGGTACGAGATTTGATTGAAAAAGCACATAAACGGACGCTAGCTCTCTTGAACGAACATAAAGAAGATGTGATCAAGGTAGTTATGATTTTATCATCTACTTAACTATTATTAGAACCTCGTAAAAATGGAACACCTTCCTAGAACTGCCGAAGGCGCCAATTTAGCGCCTATTCTTGTTTTTCTTTAATGAAATATTTTTATACTTGCATTAATTAAGATTATATTAATGTTTAGGATTGTATTAATTTTGATATTCTATAATTGGATAACCAAATTTTATTACATTTAATTTTACTGCACAATTCAACAATTTGTTCGCACATAGTTTTATCTTTTACATATATCATTCTTTTTTGCTGCTATGCAAATAAATAATTGGTGGCTTCCGAAGTGAATATCATCGAAATTGTAAGAGATGAAAAAAAAATGTTTTTAATAGAAGTTATAAATAATTTTAGGAAAGAATATTTTATAATAATGTTAAAACATTTTTTTTATTTAATAAACAATTTTTAATCGCACGCGCGCACACACATTATTACTGTACAATATTCCAAAAACTATTCAATATTTTCTGAAAAAACAATTTTTTTATTTTTTATAGTTTTGATGATATTCGTTGCGAAAGAAATTGATTTTAAAAAATTGATTTTTGTCAAAGGAATGTTTTATTCCTAAAAAGTGTATGAACATATATAAAAAAATATTCCTTATTTTGGTCTTTATTTGATAACAACATACTAAAAATTAATGAAAAGCTAAGAAAACTTCTGTTTGTTTTGTTGAAAGTACTACACTAGAGACTTCGGTGATTTAAAATAAAAATAGAAATAAACTGTTTGAACATGAATAAAATTGATTAATTAATTTTTGTATATCAAACTTCTAAAATGATAAAAATTTAGAAAAAATTATTAATCAGCACAAAAATTTGCAGAAGTTATAATAATTTGTAACATCAGCGGAGTGAAAATGGTGTTATCAATGGTTCTAATATTAAATCATGTTATCAACATGAAGATTGAAATATATATAATTTTACTTAATTTCAGATCGCGGAGCGATTGTTAAAACAGGAGGTTTTAAGTAGGGACGACATGATTGAATTACTTGGACCTCGGCCTTTCCGTGAAAAATCCACCTATGAAGAATTTGTCGAAGGCACGGGCTCTTTCGAAGAGGATACTACGTTACCGGAAGGTTTGAAGGAATGGAACGTGCAAAAGGGAGAATCTTCCGAGGACAGTAGTAAAAAGAACAAAGCAGCAGAAGCGCAGCCTTCTAAAGCAGCTTCCGGTGATAAACAACCGGAGCAACGACTGTAATTGTAATATTTTAGTCTCACAAATGCTTTATTATAGTTTGAAATACACAATTATAATAAGTTTACGATTGTTCATCAGTATATTTTCAGCTGCATCAGCTGTTGTAATCAGTATACGCGTTAAAGTTGTCATGTTTAACGTGTATCACTTGTAACGTTTTCATGTAATTAAATTTAAATAGTACTCTAATTTTTCTCATCTCATCTCAAATTCGCTTTCACCTTCGTCAACTGTAAGTAATTGTATGGAGTAAGTGTACGAAATAATACTCGCGAAACTTAGAAACCTTAAAATTTTTATTGTTTTTTAAACATGCCAATATAATTTTTTAAATGCCAATATTTCGTTAAAATTTAGGTGATTATTAGATGTTTTTATTTGACATTATGTTATACAATTTTTTCTTCTTTGGAACTAAAAGTGGGCAAGCATAAGATATTTGAAACAATAACATTTGCAAATTTAATATTTATCTTAGTCTTTGGATTTGCGTATTTACTGGTTTTTTACGTTTCTCTGAACAAAAGGACGGTATATGTTTTCAAAGGATAAATTCGGGAATTACAAAATCGAGATGGGGAGTAAATGGTTCAACGTACATAATCTATATTTAAGGTTTAGTTTATTGATAAGAAACATGTCAGTAACACGGTTTTTGCATTACATTACTGGATACGAATTAATTTATGTGTGACGTGTGCTGTTTATTGCACACCGCTGTAAATATTATGTAAAATTGCTTTCGTCGACGTCGCGGCGACGGAATGCCGGCTTGCACTACGAAAAATTTGTAAAGGTATCCGTCGCTATTCGCGTGGTTCACACGTGTGTTGGTCATGAACGTGTTTGTTGCCGTAAAACGCTTTATCCTCACCCTTACAGTCCGAGTCATTTTCTCACGTTCTTTTACGTTACGCTCGAATCAGCATCTGATGTACAAAATACTGAATGTGTGATGAATTTGAGAGTTTTAACAAAATTTAATCATCACTAACATGTGTGTATATATATACACACAATATTTATATGTGTGTATATATACACGCATGTGTCTATGCAACAATATCTCAAACAACAAGCGAAATTTCACGGATGTCTCTTGAGAAAGATCAGAGCATCTGTTTAAACACTTTTGTTGTTTGGGATACATATGTGATTTTCTTTCAGATATATCAAATCCATGTCAATATATGACGCTGAAATCGATCTTGCTCGTATAATAGGTATTGAATTTGCGAAAAAACTGCTCGGAAATGTTGAGTACAATGTCTTCCATTGAAGGATAATCGTTCTGTGTTATTCCTATTTATAGGTATCGGCGATGTACAGATGCAAGACACGACGTTATTAAATGACTAACAAAGTTTGATTTGACATTAAAAAAGTACGCGCGACGTGTACAATAGTTCTAGTTGAAGTTTGGTGTTACATTGTTCCAAAATTGGCAAATTCATCTTTATCACCTTTACTCTTCATTGTGAGTGAATTCTTAGTGGTAGTCCGCCGAGTTTTACACACGCGTTGTAGTTGGTTTGAAAAAAAAAACGTATATACATATATCCCCCGAATTACAATATCAATTTTGATTTATAAAACAAAATATTATCTCGCTGATTTTGCATAAAATTATTGAATTTATCAGCTTTTAATAACTATAACAATTGCCATCAATAATATATTGACTGATTCTATATTAGTGCATTGAACGGTGTCTATCGAGGATGTAAAGATTAATAGAACGATTTGAAAAATTGATATGACTCTGGTGAAAAAAATTCTCATAAATCTTATAATATTTTTAAAAGAGAACTGTTATATTTTAAATTAATGAACATTTCTGAAAAAAATACCTTGAATTTTTTTTATATTTTGTGTTTTAATTAGAAATTGTCAAATGAGAAATCTTAAGAGTCTTAAAATATATAGATTTTCTCGTTATTTCTAATTTGTATTAAAAAATCTGATAATTTATTATATAAAAATTCTGATAAATTGTATGAAGAATTTACAGAAAAATTTTCATCAAAGTCAGTATTTCATCACTACACTATTTCTTTTACTCGAAAACGATTCTTTCTTTTTCCACTAAATAATTTGTAGCGTGTTTTATTGGAAGAATATTTCGTCTATGCATGTTTACTTTAATGCAGTCGACGTTTCTTGCAATGTGTTTGCAAACGTGTCTTATACATTCTTCTCTCTCTCTTATTGTTTCTTTTATTAATTCTTTTTTTTTAAATAACATTTAAGAGAGCGGTAATACAACTGTCGAAGTAAGCCTTACTTAGAGGATTTCATCGAATCGCACGCCAACAGATCATCGCATATACATTTAAAAAATTTCATAAACTAGTTCCTCGTGAATTTAAAAGAAGCAAATTTTTTAAATTCAATTTTATTTACGGTACAAATTTATACGGTTATACATTTTTGCAATTAATTTTTGTATTTTTCCATTTAAAATCTTGGCATAAATTGAAGTAAACGATTTTTAATCATTGCAACTTGTTTGTGTTTCCATGATAATATTGATACAAATAAGTCATTGTACACGCAGTGGCCAATAGTTAAAAAAAATTTCTTAGGAAACGAAAAGATGTACATACATTAGAAAACATGTTTTTATGTTAGAATCGGTCCACTCAAATCTTTGTTAAAATTTTGTGTTGAATTTTTAACGTATTCAAGTGTTAATTTAACATAATATGATTAGATTATTCAAATATTTTATGTAGTTAAATTGATATTCAACATTTCTCAATTTAACATTATAAATGCTAATTTTACTGAAAAAATATGCTCAACAATTTTCTTATAAATTGTGTCTGTTTTTTGCGTTAAATTTTTTTACATATACGTTTGTATTATTTTTTGACACATTTATCTTATGTTAAATTAAAAAATTTGAACGAATCGTTTGGGACATGTGAAATATGTTAAATTGAACACAAACTTTCCATAACTGTGCGGTATTTTTATATTCATTTTACTTTTTCATCCTGTGATGATTCCTATATGATACATATGACGTAATTAGAAATATATGGGGATAAGATAATCATAAAATGACCGTTAATCATAAGCGTTACAAGCTGCATTGCGATATGGATTATCATTATTCGAATGTGAATTGATGAATGTTTCATCTCTGTTTCTCTTTTCCTCGAATATTTTTCTTTCGGCGTGCATGAATTTGGCACCTGTACAAGATGACTTTTTAAGTTACAAAGCATCACGTTGCGAAATTTAAAGACGATATTTCTATCCTGTTTCTTCCAGTAAGATACGCATATTCACAAACGAGTATAATTATCTCGAAATTCGTCCTGTTAGAAAAAGTTGCGAACACCGCGCTCGAAATCTCGTTTGTTTTTCATTCATTTTTAATTGCTCACTAAATTGCTCGTTTTGTTCGTCTCCTGTTTGTACGAAAAAAAAAATCTCGGATCAGGATTAGGTATATCGCGGTTTTTTGTCCATTCATTTCCAACTACATTACCAATTCTCTCTTTTTTTTTAAAAATTTTTTTTTTCCACTATATTTTTCCCCTAAATCTTTGATCCCAAGACAGTGTTAATCTGAAATGGCAATCTTTCCAGCGTTTCTACAAAACTATACGATTTATCGAGTAAATATTTATAGATTTCGAAAGTATCATTAACTTAGCACTAATTCGCTAATCAAGTATATCGTACAATCACTAAATTATTGCTTTGTCGTACCTTGTATCACACTAATCTAAACCCTATTATTTCCTCTTACGTGTTTTTTTCTTCTATCACTCTCTCTCTCTTTCTCTCTCTCTCTCTCTCTTTCTCTCTCTCTCTCTCTCACACACACACACACACACACATTTTTTTCAAAAAGTCAGGTTTAGCGGTGATTATGCCTGCTGCTGCTTCTCCGTGAAGTTCGTGTACACAAGTACGCGTATAGATGCACACACAAAACGTTTTCACGTATTTTCTCTTCTTAATACACTAACATACCGCAACAATTCTTCGCTTCCCTTCTCTCTCTTTCTTTTTCTCTTTCCATAATTAATATAATAAATCCGATAAAAGTAATAATCGACGGAATCAACATGAAATTCTCTTGTTTCATTACGACTGCATTATTTTTACAAACACGAAACGAAAGAAAAGGACGTTCGGCATAAAAGTTAACGTAAAAGGAATTTTATCAAATTTAACCTTAAAGTCAAGGAAACTCCACATGTGAGTCCATCGTTATCAAATGGGAATAATTGCATCGCGCGAAAATGTATCTTATCTTTCCAAAATACGCAGCATCGTATTAATTTTGTAAGATATATTTAAACAGTAGCGAATACGAAATGTCGTTACAGTTAAATTATTCCTTCGAGAAGGAATAAAAATTCTCGAATTTCAATGTGATTCGATCGATTAGTACATGTACATACGTCTATATATATATATATATAGTTTATATATATATAATGGATGCGCCTTGTCTCTATAAGTATTATATTTATATTTACGTGTACAATGCTTGTCACATTTTCGTTGTTCTCTTTTTATCTTCGATATATTAACATTCAGTTGGTTGAGTAAGTTATTCTCTCTATCGCTTATATATTGACGAATCTTATCACCTCGAAAACGATATATACTACGACTGTTAAATTCGCCGCGTGCGCGGCATAGAAACGGTTTAGCAACTTGGTCCTCTTTAATTGGGAGTCTTTATATTAATGCGCGTCCACATTCAGTTCCTTCCTTCATTCACATATTATTGTTGCTTGCTATTTTTCTATTGAGTACTCCTTTCTTTTCTATTCGACTTAATCGCCCATCATGAAGAAGTTTCAAAGAACAAAGAGACATTAGATTAATATAATTGATTTTATTTAATTTTAATGGCAATATTGAGAAAAAGAAATGAACGAATGTATCCTTTCGCGCAATTAAGATAATTTTTATCTGGGTAACATCGATCTATAACATCTGTCATGAAATTCACGAAACAAACTTGTTTTCTAAGATAAATATTCAGTTTTACAAAGCTTTGCACGATCTTTAGCTGTATAAAAAAAAATTTATAGAAATGCGAAATTAT